TTGAGCTGTATATGGACGAAGGTTAAGCGTCTTAACACCTGATAGCTTGTAGCTATCTAAGTCTGAGAATATCGACATGTATATTTAGTAATGGTATTATACTAATTAATGTACTTATAAAGCATGAATTCTCACTCGTTAATATTGGGATTCACTGTAGAAACCTATTTAAGCGCGTGTGTTTGTAGAATAAAGAAGGTAATTGCTCAAGAAACGGCAAGACTCATATCGTGAAGAATAGTGTAATAATTAGTCAGTTATCTGTGGAGATCAGCCGAGAAATCGAGTTCTCAAATACTTCTCTCATAGAAACTGAAAGTACTGGGAGAAATAACCCAAGTTTTAAGTAACTACACTAGAGTTCTTTACTTTCCTTTGCCACAAGTGAGGGTTGTGACAACGGTTCTTGAAGTTCGATATCCCTTTAATCATGTTATTCATACATAGCCAATTCAATCCCTCAATAGTATTTTTTGAATGAATCTGATCATATTTCACTCTATACTTAGGCATAGCCGTAGTATATATATATTTAAAGCGGCAACAAACTGGAAAGCATTACTTTTCTCTCAATCACAATTTCCATCACTTTATAAATTCTGCAACCATCCAATCCGTCAATCTGTACTCGTTAACAGTATTTATTTTTCTCTTACTTACATTTTGAAAAATAGACAATTTAAGAAATAACGCCAAAACTATAGAATATAAACGTATAACGATGATTATGACGGTTTACTACCACAAAAATAACTATAAATGTACGTAAAATTATTTAAAATTTTTATTCTACAAAATAGAGTGCATCTACCTGAACATGCGGTTCCGATAAATTACGTAAATAATAATAAGTTGGTTCATTTGAAAATTATTATATAGTTACCAAGTATAAGCAGATTATTTCGTAAGGAATTGGCTAATAAGTATTTAACTTTCAGTTCTATACTATACGACTCGTAAGTTAATTTCTGAGATATTGGAAAAAATTCATTTTATCATTGCAATTACTCGGTTAAAAATGAGTTTTTCCATTTCAAGATGTTAAAGAGTTGCAATTATATCAAATTTGAAATTATTTAACTATTGTTATCAGATATAGTACTATATATAAACAAGCTGTTGAGATAAACCAATTTAATGGGCAGAGTAAGACAAAATCGAAAAACGAATTGAGATATGCATATTAATGCCTAGAAAAATACGGCGATCTTACCAGTAGATTTCTAAACTCCTCTAATTCATGTACTATCAGTATAACGATCAAAACAAGACATTTATAGTTAAAGATGGTCTTTAAAACCTTGACAATATCTGCACTTAGCTAGGCAAACCGCCTATCTGAATATCATATAGATATGATTACGGCATAAAATAAAGTTTAGCACCAAATTTATACTTGAACATTTTATCCAGTGTCACGGTGCTAACTCACCGTACCAAAATAAAGCATGCTTTGCGGGTACAATGATATTGTAAGCCGAGGAGATTATGTAACCAGATATAGATTGTAGACGGTACGATTTAAATTGTGATGTATTAAAGGTCATTTATATCTATAGTTGGATTAGTAGTATTCTAAGAGGTGTGTAAAAGCTTGTAGATAAAATCTATTTAAACGATTGGACAAATTAATAAAAGTTAGTTCTTAGTTCCTAAGGTTAAAAGTATAACGGAAATCGAAGGCGTACGAATTATTAAGAGATCGTAGATTAGATCACAACCTTATCTTGTCACACGGGAGTTTGTGACACCAGTTACCTATTATCGTTGTCTTATTATTTAAGATTAAACAGACTTTAAGTGAATTTTAGGCCGTACCTATTTATATCAAATTTACATCGTACAAACTTAATGTCCTCTTACCACAAAATAGAGCAATGCAGATGATGATCAAACTTTGAAATGATGATAGTAACCTTATTTTCATGGCGAAAAGTAACTAGATGGATTTAATAACTAAGAAAAAGCGGATGGGGAAAGTCTTACAGTCGTAGGGAACTGATTAAAAAATGAATAGGATTTTCTCTATTTATATTATAATAAGAAATAACAATTAGAGTTCTGTATTGGAATTGGAATTTATTTATTAATGATAGAATTTAAAAAAAAAATAGATTAAGAAATATATTGTCATAATATCTGTTGCCTTTCAATCATGATTTTGGTATGTTCCGGGATCATAAGATGAACGTCTTCACAAACCATTCTTAAGGCTTCTAGTTTAAACAAAATTGATTCAATGTTAAATAAGTAAAATGCAAAATTTTAATTATGAAATTAAAATATAATGTTCCACATGTACCCACGGTGATATATAATTATACGCATACGCGTATAACATACCAGCTTATTCTGTAGTAAATGACAAAATAAAGCCCTGTGTACATTTCTACTAACGACCGTTTGCAACATCGATATATACAATCAGCTTTAGAGATTGGGGTTAAAGTTGACATTGCTGATTACGGTATAAAGTATTTCACTGACAAATAAGGTAAATGAAGAAAGAAGAAATTTTAGTATTATCTATTTAAATAATATTCTTTTGCGGCATCAATGCGGCTTATAAAATAATAATCATGAGTCTATACCAAAAACAAAAGCGATCCGACTTGCTGTCATCTTTAGATCTGCCCGCATATGATATTATTAGACATAAACAAGTACAGTATTGTCACAAAACAGCTTTGCAACAAGATAACGTAATGTACAATCAATAAGTCAATTCCTTGAACCACGTATCAAGGAACGATATCTGCACTATCAGAAATACTTTTGCTCTACTAGCAGACTACACAAAGACTTAGACGCCTCGTATTTTACGTTAAACACTAAGTTTAAGAATCCTCTTTATTACACGATATACTGCATTGATATACTCTTCCTCAATAGTTCATGAGTCATAGTTAGTATGATTAACTTTGGAATCATTCACTGAATTAAATATTAATTTTAGCTACTGCTCCCTTAATGCAGACAACAGTATTTACGAACATAGACATCTGATGACTAATACAGAAAAGTCAGATTACGATATGTCCTATCACGGACCATTTCCACGATAATTTACAATCTACCATAAGTAGGTTACAATCACAACGATTCGAACTGTAAGTAGATGATTCGCATTCCCTATTATAACTATTAATTTCAGTATGTGTATATGTGTCACTATCATAAAAAGTCAGTGCTATATTAAAACACAGTATATCCAAATTAGAAGTTAACTAAATAAGAATAGGCTAACAGAATTATCCTAATATAGATATTTCTACTCTAATACAGTATATAATACTGTCACAAATGTTGACTATGGCAATTATTTGATATAATTAACTGTTACATTTAAAATTGAAATCATATAACGAAATCAAGAGTTTACTAATCATTTTTCTCAGATTAATTAATCTTGCTTTATTTTTGAATTTACATTTTAAAATAAAAATCAATTTATTTGATAACTTTAATAATTCTTTATTGAATTTATTTTATTATCACTAGATATATATGAATACACCATACCAATATTTGTTACTATTTATGCTTGTGTATTAGCTAGTATGATTGACCTGCTTATACTGAAAGATATAAACCTGATAAACAAGAATAATGATTTTCTATTTTCGTTGATCAGGCACTTTAATTTTAATTCTTTTATTGGAAATTTTCTGCTTCCAGCGATCATTTCCTGATTACTAAATAAATGTGTTCTCGTTCTATCGCTGCAAATAGCAACTATGATTTGATTGACAGTTTAATAATAGTCTTTCAAAATAATTAATTTATAGTTGAAATAGAATCTGCTGATATCATCATCGCTAGGTTGCAATTCTCATTATCATCCGCTTTAAAATGACCACTTTCGTTGAGACATATTGCAAAGTAGTAAAAAAACAAATGTTCGTGCTTATCAATAATTCACACTCTGCCAAATTAATAAAACGTAAAACAAATAGAAAACTTTTATTGTAAATGCACCTGCTGATCGGTACTAAACAATGAAGCAGGTGCTACAAATTATAGGTTAATAAGCATTAATGGTTTAGAGTTAGTTTGTTTAAGTTATCATTCAATTAATAAACAGTAAATGTAAAACAGTGGATTTTTTTACTATGCTTGAATATATTGATACTATGTAGAGGATTAGAATGTTAATCAGGCATGATTTTAAACTAAAAACAAGTGAAACCTATTATAGATAAGCTTTAATAAGGAACTGTGAGATGAAAAGTTTGATGTTATTTGCTAAATTGCAGCTTTCGAAGTGAAAGCAATTACTAGGGTATTTTAGCATCTAAATAATCATCCAGCTATCTATTTCAATTAGCATATTAAAGTTTCTTATTGGTCTTATAAACAACATAGAAAATAGCACCAGCCAATAGCAGTAATCCACAATGGTATCCGTCAATTAATCCATTTGTAATTCGTACAATACCTTAGTGAAATAATTTAACATCGTGATAACATCTTACAACATAGAATTTGCATTGGCCACTACATTAATAAGATACAATTTCAATTCTAACTTTTAATTTTCAGTTAAAGTTACTCACGTAAGTCGTAATCAAGCAATCGAATACCGTTGACTGTCCTGTAATTAAAGATTTTAGTTACTCATGAGCTATAATATGGATTAAGAATATAATATTATTTTATTAGATCTTAATAAATCCTACCATTACAAGATTGCCATTCCAACTGATGTTAAAAAGTATTCATGGTTTTAACATTAGATGCTCGCGTTATCGCGTATTGGAATTTATTAACCATGACATAATCGTAATATAATGCAATCTCTGATCAGACGAAGTCACACTTTAAACTCTGCGACAAAGAAATGTAAGGTAAAAGTCTATAAATAACTACTGACTTTTTATTAAACGTTAAACATATATAGCAAACTACCATAAAGACGGAGCGGAGCATTTATTAGCATAGCCATTTCTACAACTTTTCACACCTTAACATAACTCAAAATTTTCCCATTTATATAGGAACCGTCTAATTTGTAAATAACACTATTATTATTATACCTTACCAGGAGAGACATCTCGAACTGAGATGCTCCTTACATAGCTTTTCTATCAGTAAATATTTTTAACCTATCTCTCATACTTAATCTTAATCTAAGTATGTTGTCTAGTTCACCTATCATTATCCAGAACTTGAATCACCTTCCTACTATCTATACATATAATAACAATCAAAATCAAATACGCAATAAACTATTACAAACAATATCCACGTTAAGGTATTAGTTATCTTAACTAGTACTATTAAACTATCTTAACGGTCAGGTAATACCTTAACAAGATATTATACGAAGTCACGAGGATAAATATTGTCTTGTGTTCGGCTGGTGTAATAATCAGATTGACTCGAATTTAGAGACTGGTCATGATGACAATCTTCTGCCTAATTTGGAATATCATCAGTTCTTTTTTTATTACTGTTGCGAGCTAGGAATAGCCCTAACTTGCAACAAGGATTGAGAGAGTGATTTCTACCCTTTACTACTATTATTTGGAATACCAGATAATTGGTATTCCAGGGCAGATAGGGTTTAACTCAGGGATACCTTCAAGACTTACTAGAAAATCACAATCTAATTTATTGTCGACGAACTCGCCGTTTATATAGGTTTCGGACCTAAAACCAGTTTAGCTACACAAGTCACCTCGTCTATTAGAAATTAACTGAATTAATACCTAAAGAGATTCTATCTGTACAAATTAGATAGAATCTAATCCTATTAAATTTACTGTAACAGTATTAAAATATTGAATGCTTATTATAGTTGAACGGATACATATAAAGCTATCCTATTAAGACATTTCCTCTAAACTTAGGAATTGTACTTTGAACCTTAACAACCATAAAGGCGATGATATAATCCAGTTTAGCTGGTTGGCAATTACTATTTTAGTCTATGTAATCCTAAATTAATGATATGAGCTGTTAACCACTAAAATTACTATTAAGGAGACCGTAAAACATTTCTGAGATATAAACATATATAGAACGTAACATAGAAATAAAGTATAGGTCACGAAGATTACTTTCACGACAGTTACGATGAGATACTATAACTATACGATAGTAATTAATGAAAGTTATTGCAGAATAAAAATGAATTTAAGACCAAATTAATAGTTAAAACAAGTATAATAACAACTTTAAGCTCGAAGATATCAATTTCATTAGCTGTAATCATTTTATAAATATAAACGGAAATCATTTGTTGTTAGTATAATTATTATATTATGCACATGAAATTTTGTTACAACTTATTACTAATTTTTTCATTTTTAATTTTTCGTCAAACTACATTAACGGCACTGATCTTTAGCTGAATATAATTATTACTAGAAAAATTTCTGAATAGAACGATCGAATAATCTAAAATCGTCTGCTTATATTATTTTTTAGTGTTAGCAGCTACAATCAGCATAACCACTTGGTACCAGATTTTACACTCATTCAGATGATTAATCGTAACAAGACTTTACAATGGATCATCGATAATAGTTAATCCAACGCGGCAACAGCTACAGTATTAAAACGTAGATATTATCTCTACCAGCCAAAGTATGATGAACTAATCATAACCTAATATATAAGTTACATATCTATTTTTACTTCTGGCACCAATATTGACTCTATACCCAACTGTACATGATCATCTATACTCAAACATAGAATTTAATTACAGTCTATGACTATGAGCTACTAAATATGCCTTAGATAAATGTGGAAGGCTGCAACACCGTACATCACAATGAACAAAACTAATAATCTACAATCTTATACTAAGTTATGTTACGCGAGGTAGAATTACTAGAACAACAAAGGTAAAATATATTTATTTCATAGCATCTTCTAGTGTCATAACCTTAATCGTGTCATTGTGATACATCATGGAATCTTCTAACACAAATAATTAATCAACGTAAGTAATAAATAGGCAATGGCATCTCATATGTAAGCAGAAATTATTTGTCAATAGTACAAATATTACAGTTGGCACATGAAAATTCATTTTATTATAATTACTAATTTCTTATATTAAACCACCAATTTTTCGTCATCACTGACTACTATACCAGTATTGCCAAAAATTCGGTAAGTTAGAGTCTACCATTGTTTCCAATACTTAAAATTTATTTATGGGGCATTAAAATTTATAGAAATATCAATGAGCCTTGGACACTTTATGTATAATATCATCGCTAACATACTGAAATATTACTCCCTAAGTTAGAGGTAGATCCATAGTTTAAACTTCTGAAATTCGAATCGTCGATCGATCATTAGCTTTTATCGTCATAAATTCATATTGAAATGCAGCTTCATCGGAATTCTCGAAGGCTTTCATTGATTTCGAGCTACTAGGATTATTATCTTGGGCTCTATTTTCACCCGAATAACTATGACCGGTAGCACAAGTCTGATTAGGGCTAGTATCACGAACGGCGCTCGATCATCTATTATGTTAACGTACCATAGTTGGTTTGTTAGCCTGAGTAATTCGGTAAATACATGGAGTAGTAAAATAATTACAACTATATAAGAACGGAGTAAGAGCTGAATTAATTGGTAATGCATGTAAGTTTACAAATTTTAGCTCAAAGATATCAATATTATTAGTAAATAGAACCTTATACACGATTAAATAATAAGGCAGCCATGAAATTAAATCAGTTAATTATGTTGATGGATAGTTTTCTCGCTAATTTTTGGCCTGCTGATGCTGATGTACGTTGTACTGAAATACTACTTTGATATGCTTTTATAAAGACTAAATAGTATAATGCACAAATTGTTAGCCATATACCAGCAGTTAAAAATGTAATAACTAAAATCCATGTTTTAAAATAAGTATTATCTACATTGCTTGGCATACAAATGCTGCTATATTTATAAACTCGATCATTACCAGCAGCATTAGCACTTGTAATAGTAGGTATTCCGACATACAATAGACATGACAACCAGAATAGAATAATTGTAGTTCTAAAACTGTTATACTTATAATTCCGACTTTGATAACGGATCGGATCAACAGTACGTAAGTGGAGATCAATACTAATAAGCAGCATCATCAAGATCGACATAATACTCGATAAACTACCCAAGAAAAAGGCTAATAGACACGGTGTACTCCTTAACCAATTTTCTGAATATTGGCCATAATGATTATGATAAAATTGATTGCATGAAGTTTCAGTCAATTTCTGTCACATATTCAGACTTAAAAGAACTACTGTAGAAAAAAGATGGAAATGTATTTATTTCATAGTTCAAGAATGAAACACAATTTAAATTTACGAGCATTTAAATGTATTTAATGAAGCTTGCAAGGAAGCCAATCAAGTAAGCATCATCAATAGCTGAAATCCTTCCCATATCGCCAGATAACACTAAACAAGTCATGGGATACAGCTTATGAGTCGATGTTTGTCGGGAATTATATAAGCTTACTAACGTTAAAATTTAATGATTTAATCAAAATCTTTCGACAAGAAAAACACATAGTGTAAAGCTTCACTTACAGTATAGAAACGGATCTTTTGCTGCGAGTACTAAACCTTAATATATTATTTAATATGTGATGATGCACCATTCAGAAACAGAAATTATTTACTAATGGTAATTTAAATAGCTAATATCAGCATTAAATACTCATTTAATGCAATTATACATTAATTTTTCGAACTGTATTCTTTTGATGCTGATATATTGCACTAATGGCAGAATCAGTTTAGCAATTTGAAATTTATCATCATTTCTAATCTATAGAAAGTTAGGATTTATTAGCATTTACTGAAATCTTTGTAGGTATCGGCGTGTAATTAAAATATGCAATTATTCTATCTAACCTTATGGGATTTAAACAATCTAATTCTCACAAGATAAATTGTTTAAATCAAGTGAGAATTTAAGAGAGGCTTTCATATCGAGGCTGAGAGTAGTAGAGCAATAATTATAATTACCTAGTAGTATAAATCTATTGCAAAGTGCTCTGAACTCAAATAAATTACATGAGATCCCATTCAGCTCTTAAATAATTTTAACCGATCAATTCAGAGCCACAAAACCACATGTAATCAGGTTAAGATAATTAAACAGAACATTTTTCTCATAGTAGATAAGCAATCCATTCTGCAGTACGAATCTATCTATTTAAGATACCATTTATTTCTCTATTCATGTCCAACGCCGCAAGAATGATGTTGATCATCTTCATATCTACAGTGCATCCATTCGCACAGGCTATGTGGAATACTATAGCTAGATCAACTATTATTAATAATCAACAACGACCAATATCGGCAATTCCAAATTTTATCTGATATAAGCAACGCAATAATATCTAATATTTTGTAGTCCAAATAAATCAGATACTGCAATCAATATTTCTGATATCAGCAAAATAATAAATCTGATATTTTAAATAAACAAATTAGATACAGCAATAAATATTTTCTGATATTAGTAAGGCAATAATATCTAGCATTTTTTAACCAAACAAATCAAATACAGCTACCAATTTTATCAATTATGGGGTTTACTACTAAATAGCGCTTTAAACAATATCATAACCGTTAGGAAATATTCCACTAAAAATAGAAATGAACCCAAAGTTTAAATGATTGAAACTTTAGCCATCGACTGAACATTACTTCTTATCGTCATTACTTTATGACGTGTCTCAGATTGACCAAACTCTGTTAAGGCATTCATTCGTTTTGAACTATTACAATTATTCTGGACTCTATTTTCACCGGAATAACCATGATTAGTAGCAAGAGTTCGATTAGGGCTAGTATCTCGAACTGAAGCAGACGATCTACTACGTTGGCGAACTGTGACTGGTTTATCAATTTGAGCATTTCGGCAAAAACATGGAGTAGTAAAATAATTACAACTATACAAGAACGGATTTAGGGCAGAATTAATTGGTAATGCAAGTATGATTACAAATTTTAGCTCAAAGATATCGATGGTATTAGTACACATGACTTTGAACATGATAAAATAGTAAGGCAGCCATGAAATTAAATCAGTTAATAATATGATGGATAGTTTTCTCGCTAATTTTCGGTCTGCTGATGCTGATGTACGTTGTACTGAAATACTACTTCGATATGCTTTTATAAAGACTAAATAGTATAATACACAAATTGTTAGCCATATACCAGCAGTTAAAAATGTAATAATTAAAATCCATGTTTTAAAATAAGTATTATCTACATTGCTTGGCATACAAATGCTGCTATATTTATAAACTCGATCATTACCAGCAGCATTAGCACTTGTAATAGTAGGTATTCCGACATACAATAGACATGACAACCAGAATAGAATAATTGTAGTTCTAAAACTGTTATACTTATAATTCCGACTTTGATAACGGATCGGATCAACAGTACGTAAGTGGAGATCAATACTAATAAGCAGCATCATCAAGATCGACATAATACTCGATAAACTACCCAAGAAAAAGGCTAATAGACACGGTGTACTCCTTAACCAATTTTCTGAATATTGGCCATAATGATTATGATAAAATTGATCAGCGATCGCAATTATAAACAAATAGATGGACATTAAAAAATCGGCTACAGTTAAATTAAATAACAATAGGCGAAATACTTGCTTCGGTCGACCCTTACATGAATTTTTCCAATGAAAGCAGAATACTAATATATTACCAATAAATGCTACGCCACCTACAATCCAGATATAAAGTCGTAGGGATAGATGAGATAATAAATGCTGACAACTTGATAATAATTCAATAGCTATAGGTTGACATGTTGTTACTTTAGCCGGAACCATACAGCAAAAATAGTCGCGTGTTGTTAGGCTATACTCCAACAGTAATAATATTAAAAGATTTAGTTAGCATTGTAAGCAACAATTATATGTAAAAGCTATTTGCAGTAATATAATAGTCTCGAATAGATCAGATAAAGCCATTAGTCTTGCATAAAAGTGCAAGTTATCATGTTACTGAAAAACCTTACATGTGCATTCCGTAGCTATTGTTTCCTTGTTAAAATTAACTGTTATATCCAAAATACTGATTGTTGTCTTACAATGGAATTATTAATCGACAACAATCTGGTATTTAATCAATCGATATTGTTTACTGTTAAAGAAAATAAGGCTAGCTCCAATAACTAAGAGTGGCTTATAACTAGTGCTAAGGCAGTTAAGTAATTGTTAAAGGATGACTGCAAATAATGAGTCCTATGCTGATAGCTAACAAAATCATAAAGAGTAAGTGCAGTGATCATTGTACGTTTCAATACATGGATTTACAATCGACATATTAGCTATAATCTAGTTATTGAAGTTCATTGCACCAGCAAGATAGAGATTACTATATAAGCAAAACTGGAAAAATAATGAGAATTAATTTGAACTGTACAATTAAAATAGATATCGATATCAATAGATTTGTAATCTACAAATTAACTAGAATCTCGTTCGTTGACGTTTATTGCTCTAGCAAGATAGAGATTGCTATATGTATAAAACTGTTAAAATAAAGAGAACCAATTTAAACTGTATAATAAAATAGACATCTAAACTAATAGATTTATAATCTACAAGTTTACTGTAATCTACTTCATTGACGGTCATTGCAAGATATGGTTTATTATATATAAAAATTGCAAAAATAAGGCGAATGAATCTATTTATACACTATTAAAATAGATTGTATGTAAAAATTGCAATAAAAATAAGTAGATTCGATCTATTCTGTAACATTAAAATAGATATCTATAGTTTAATATAATTCTATAACAATTACCCAGAATTAAACTTACATGGTGGACAATTTTAGAGGCCCATAAAGAGACTGTCCATCGACTGATGTCAGTGGATTGTCTTTCAGTGATCTATCCGTATAGAATTAACATTTCAAAAATCTATTCACATTTAAATCAATTCTTAGGCCAGCACTTACAGAAGTCGAAGATTTGATAACCTTTGCAAACACCTTGAATCTAATACCTTGATGTTTGATCGATCAACATAGCTATTCACAACATATAATATTTAATATATTAGATAGAAAAATACAAACTTTTCGTATTCTATGCTTATGGATATAAAAAATACAGAATAATTAGTTATGCATCAAAGCAAAAATGCATCATATCTGTGTGTATTCAGAAAATGAACTAGGTTTATTATTCAAAAATAAAGCTTTCAAAATTAAAGTGAAATTAAATTGTATCGATATCAAGTTTTACATCATTTCCAACATCGGAGCAAACTTCTGCCAATTATTATTGCAAAAATTTAAGATGGCGTTATCAGATATATTTCTGAAGTGAAATGAGAAACGCTATCAATATTACACCCTTCAGCGTGAGCCTTGCAATGCAAAAATATATTAGCTGCAGACTTGAAATATTATTAATAAAGGAAAATATTCAAAAATACTATTAGCCAAATAATTAAAGCAGTAAAATGTTTTTACCCCTAATTTAGTCTTTATCATCCTTTTTATAAACTTACAATAGCTGTAATTTTAAGAAGCGAACATTCTGCCTATTTGTGATAGTTTTCAACTTATTACCGGAGAGTTGGCTATAATGCAATTAAAACAGTAATTCATATAGAACTCTAAACGTAAAATAATAGCTAGAAAATGATGCCACCAACTCGTTAATTGCTCCATGTAAGCTAAAGGTAGAGCTTACAGTCGCTATTTTAACTATTACAATCTTTTTTTCGACTCATAGTTCTCGCATATTATTATCACTTCCATAAAAAATATCTTCGACATCAAATTCCGTAAGTTGATTATCATTCAAATACCTAAATTATACAATTCGCATTTGCTACAAATTAATGCTTGCTTTTTTTATGCTATAATAGAATTTAAGATTGTAAAGATTCCAAATTGTTGCTCTAGCCAGATATCTAGAACTTAAATAGATGTTTACTGTGAACTGCAATTTTACTACGGTAGACTTCTGTTGCATTGCTTCATAGGTCGAATAATCAAATCAAAGTAGCGTTATGTAAGTGCACCTTAGATGAGTAATTGCATCGATATTTTTATCTGTATTGATTTTTATAATAGCTCTAATATATGTTTGAAACGTAACTTAGTATTGGGATTGTAAACTATTAGCCATATTTAGTACGATATACGATAGCGTAACTTTCTATATTTATATTAAGATAGATTTAGTAGCTCAAAGCTATAAACTGTATTGCAAGATTCTACGCTAGAGCACAGATAAGCACATGCAGTAGAGTGCCGCGTTACTATTAAAGTTAGAGGCAAAAATAGAAATATAATTCATATATCAGGATATTGTTAGTTTACTATACTCTGAATGGTAGAAACATTATCTACGCAAATACTGCAGGCATTTCTAAATTGGATTGCCAATAGTCCTCTGTAAAATGTTATTTCTAATAGTAATCTGAATATATGTAAAATATGGTAAAATGTTGCTATATTTATTGTAACTTTTACCAATTTGAAAGTATATAGAGGCGTCGTCAAGTATTTGTCACTATATAATAGTACATATATAGTAATTCCTAATCTTACCGGCTAAAATTTTTTTAAATCAAGTATTATTTACTCTATCATATAATTATTTCAATCACTTGTTGATTTCTACTTACAAGGCATAAATATAGCCTTCTAGAGATCGTAAACCGTCGCCTGGAAGTTGCCGTAATTTTAAACCACTTAAACCTCTGTAAGTGAGAGTGTATTCGTAAGTATTTGCTACCGTAATTTTATTATATATTCTAGAAATTCTGTGACTCTTTGTAGAAAGTCTAATAAAGATAACTTACAAATACGTAGACCAGCAACGAGACATGTATAATAATATACTTTCTCTTCCAATCCTTCTGAAGTAACGACAAATGTAAAGAGGAAAGATGTTGCCAATCAGGTTTTTTACTTCATCTGCTGGTAAATTGTTATAACTAATGTCTCTAAAACAAAATTGATATCAATAGTTATAAATAAGAAATTATAGAATGAAAAATTGAGATATCAATAAGACTTTGTATAACTAGAAATTTTAAAAATCTATCAATCAAATAGAGTCGCCTACAATCCGATCTCTTTTTTGAAAAAACCATTACGATAAGCCTGCCATAAGTGAGTAAATCCATTTCCACTGATCCCACTACGAAATAAGATTTTCATAATGTAATTATTATCAATTTTGATACCATCTAATTTTAAGAGGGAATTAAATCAATAAAATATTTAATTTTAAGATTGAATCAACGATATATCTCCAATATCCATATTACAAAATCGAGATTTGAAAGGAGAAAATTAAGCACGCTATGAGCCTGCTGTCAGGCCTGTCCTCTCTAACCTTTGCTTATCATACGATCTTACATTACAGTATAGAAATTATGTAACGTCATGGATAAACCGTTATAACTATAATATTGCATAAGTTATCATATCATAACCATGTACAAGTTGCTACAGAAAAGTTATACCGTAATAATTTCATAAACAAGTTCATGACATAAACCATTTTTAAATTAACAGGAAAATAGGTTTAATCTTACAGCCGAGTCAGTTGTAAATCGCGGCGGAATATGCGATAGGCGAATTCAGGAATATTTTGAGCCAGATTGTTAAATCCAATATCCCTGGAATTTAGAAAATATGCTTTAAAATAACAAATTATAGATATGAACCACTAAGATATTAATCGTAGCACAAATGTGAAATATTTTTAGATAATTCATTCTTCTGAAAATTAAATATGCAACATCATTTTATACATGTAAGCCCATGAAACTTACAGCGAACCCAACAGATTTTCAAAAAGTGAATAGCATTGGTCTGATATGAATGTAATATCATTATATGTCAGGTACCTTAACCAGAAAAAATGGTATGCCCGCAAAATGTTAATAAAATGGAGAAATTTATTGCCAATCTACATAGTCCTTTAACATATTATCACAAAAATATATTTATGTCATTTTTACATAGCCTTTAGAGAAATTCGACGTATTTGATGATAATAACGATTGCAGATTAATGATTTTACTCTATTGTGGGTTATGGAGCTAATTTAGAAATAAGGAAAAAATAGTTTAGACAAAAATAAATTAAATATAAGAGTGGAATAAGACACAAATAAAATGAGAGACCTATACTCTAACTAATACCGTCACTTACAAAGTTTGAAGTTTGTAAAGCTGATTAAAAATTGTATCCATTAAGCTTGAAATATTGTTATAATCCAAATAGCTATAAAGATAAATAAAGTAAAAAATTTTATAATAAAGTAAATCTAGGATTGAAAAACGCGAAACAAGGTTACCATCGACTGGTCGATAAACTTACATTGCCGTTAAACTAAGAACAGTCTTAAAATCTCGGCCATGTAATTCATTTATCTGATTTTCCCTTAGCGATCTGCGAGTGAAAAAATCAATTTACTCCAGCTATAACGGACGATTGACCTAGATCATTGCTAACATTAACTGTAAATTTCTTAAACTAATAGAACGTAGAAATGTCAAGTCCGATATTTGATTATGGTCCAGGTATCTTTAAAATAGAAATAAGAAGACTGATTAGACTAGACAGAAAAGTAGAGTCTAAATACTATTGTCTATTACAGTAAATTGTTAGATACTTTGGAAAGCGAAATTTTAAACATTTTATGGTATATATCTAGATCATGTATAAGCAAGACAATTACAGGCGTTGAAGTTGATCTAGTCCGTCAAAAGCATTCTCTTCGATGATGTTGATCTTATTTGATGAGAGATCTCTATTATGCAAGAATTACAATAAATAACGCAAAATCTATATCAAAATGATTTTAGTATGGCCTACATTATTCTATTAAGGGAACAATCCAACTAAAAGATCCATTGATATCAAAATTATCTTACGATTACAATCATAACTATAGATTTCGTATCTAGAATAATGAAAAATGTCCAAATTTTTTATATCTGTGATAGTTGGTGCCACAAAAGAGAAATATATAAAAGTCTCAGGATGGCACAATAAATTGAATAAAAATGAATGGAATGATACTAGCTTGAACTTAAATAGTGCTCACGAATCATAAATTATATGCATGACTTTTCAAGACACTACATTATTTATACAGGATTAGTACTTCCTTAAAATCAATATCGCAGACCAAGAAATGGGCTAAGCTACAACATATTAAGCTATTCATACCCGAAAAATATCTTGCTGAAATTAGCATATTGGGTAAATTAAATAGATTTAAAATGCTAAATGCACAGAACACAAAATATTCACGTTAATACTTGCTGATAACAATCTCTGATGAGTAGTTATAGCTCAATTACTGGCAGTAAGATCCATAGAAATAAATAATTTAAGATTTAAGGAATAGCATGGTCCAAAAAAATGGGTGCGAAAGTAATTCCAGCAGTATTTTATTAAGACAAAAATAAACTAGATTTGATGACCAAAAATAACGTAGCAAGTATAGAAGATCTTTCAAACTTACAGATTAGTAAGGTTTCTCAGCGATTTGAATAAGCCAGATTCTAATTTTGTTATAAAGTTTTGTTGCACAGATCTTTAAGGTGAAATTATCGATGGATTAGTTTATTTTTATTTATTTATCTAAAATGTATCGCAAAGAAATCATAATGCTGGAGATTTATGAAAACTAAACAAATGCTGTGCAAACTATAGTAAATTCTATAAATCACCATTCTTTATCAATATAAAATATATGGCTATTTATTAAAGTTGTTAAGTGAAAGAATCATTAATTAACTCACAGTTTTTGCAATTTTTTCAAATCGTCCAGAATAATTTTGTCAAGGCGATCAATATTATTATTGATTAACGTCCTGTATAAGACAAAGTAAAAAGCGTGTTAGGAAAGACGGCCCTGTATCTTGACTACGAGTAAAATTTAGAGCAATGCACTATAATATCATGCACATTAAAAAAATTCAAAGATAGAGAGATGGGTGTCACAAACCAGCTTAGTGACAAGGATAACGTAAAATAAATCTCTAAATTACTATAGTCTCCGGGATTCAGTATCCCTTTACTATCGCACAAGAATTAAGACGCCTTTGATTCTACGTTAAACTCAACTAGACAATTGAGAACTACTTTATTCAAATATCTGACGGGCTTATATACCCATCTACAGCAGCTAACATTCATGAGTCCTCTTATAAAAATACTTAGGTGAGAACATCTACTAACTAATTTTTCACAGTCGGACTACAATATGTCCATTCACAGAATCATTTCAGTGCACATTGCAACACAGCATTAAATTTACTGTAACACATTTATAATTAGAGTAATTCCTATTGTAAGTAACTAGTTGTAATATAATATCACTATATTATATTAACCAAATTTAGATGGCTATTTCTTCATGGTAGTTCGTACCGTGACATTAAGATACAAAGTTGACTTACAGACTTATCAAACTTGAAGCATTCTTCAAAAATCGGATAGAATCAAGAAGATTACTACCAATTTGTCTGAAAAGCATCAAAAAGAGTAAAAGTATAAATTATATTTAGTACATCATCAACACCTACGTACTATTTTCTTTAAAATACTCGTAGCTGCGAATCTAACAATATTTCCATTAAACTTACAAGTAATTTAATTCACTTAATGAACTTAATGTATCTTCATGAAAAAAAACAAGGCGATTCGTTGATAAATTGCTATATGAGATAGATGTATTAGCTCTTCCTATCACTGGCATTCGACAAACAGCTAAATTTAAGTATTTTTTCCAACTTACATATCTGTGATATATTTCTGACTTGTTAACCTTTGAAAAAATCCAACTGGAATATTTGTTATTTTGTTTCCTCTTAGATCACTGACAAATGAAACTATCTTAAATTTAGGTGCAACAAATGGCGTTAATCCTAGCTTCTATGAGAATTTATAAGCTTACAACAATTTTAATGAACTTAAACTTGATAAACGGTCCGCTGAAAGCAAAGATATCCTATCATAGGATAAATTTCTAGATGACATAAAATAAGCAGTGTGTTAAAATAATATAAAATCTACTTTTATAGTAACAGATTAAATTCATATATTCATAGAATAATTCCTTTTATAGAAGATAATTTTATGCAAGTAAATACATGGAATCCTTGTATCAAAATAATCTGATTGTTACGCTACCTTGTTCCACCGTGCTACGCTCATCTACTAATACTAAAGTAACCACGTAATTTCTGTTGATCTGGTTACAGACCACGAATTACATGATAATAATTAAGCAAAGTCTGCGCTATATTAATAAATACTATTCAAGGAACCAGCAATTTAGCTGGCTAGAAATAATAAAAAGAATTTACTTATATCAATAAATGTAGCCTTACAGCCTTTCTATCTGATCTTGCCCATGAAATTGCGGTAAATGATGAAGATAATTATATGATAAATCCCTGCAATATAAAAATACATACAGTACGTATATATAAGGTTTACCAATCTCAAAAGAGATTTAATATGATTGATAGTCAATTTCTTTATTCTCTTCAAATAAATAAGCAACATTTCTACGGTAGAAATCTATTTACTTAAGAGGTATGATTACTCTTAAGTTAATAGTCCAACATCGCAAGGTGTTGGATATCTTCACAATTACAGCACATCTATTCTTATAGGTCACAAACCATATTCAGATATTCGAAAATAATCGAAAATCAGCAATGACTAATTTTAGAACTAGGATTATTTCTAATATTAGCAACACGATAACATCTAATAATTTTAATTCAGTTATATCAAATATAGTGATCAACTTAATCAAGTATGGGTGCATCACTACGATTAGGTAATATATCATCCAAACAAACTTCAAATACACTTCTTTAAAGCGATACATCAATTACATATACAGTATATTAGAAGTAAAACAGAAAACTTAAGTTAAATATATTAAATTTTTTCAATATTTAAGTATGGAATTCATACAGCTCATGACATTTCAAGGAAATATTCATCGGCTGACGGTAGTGATTGCTAATCTTACTCCTGGATAACGATCTAATATTGTAAAAGCAGAAGACATTAAATAACAAAGTTCTATATTCCAGCATAATTAAAGCCTGTTATTTCTTGTTTAGGGCTATAGTAGAACAGAATTATAAGTATCATTAAGGCTTAGATTTAAATTAAAAGTAGCAGATGTAATTCTATCTTAACCTACATGTTTTTAATGATACTATTTTGAGATGATAATATACTATCATAACTGGATATTAAGTTCCCATCTAATGCACTAAATATGAGGAAATGAGATTAAAATTAGTTGTTGACTTTTGTAATAAACTTTAAGACATATCTGTAATACCTGTCAGTTGACATTATACTTTGATGTAATAAGAAAGAATAAAACAAATATACTTTAGCATCATTTATTTATTAACACTTACATCATCTCTAACTGATATAATTTGTCTATCACAATTTGTCCCGAGATTCTAATCTCATTATTTCTTAAATACCTTTCAAAAGTAATAGAATATTGTAAACCTTTAACTCCAGTACTTGTACGATAATTTCAATTTAGATATTTTGATTTTCGTACAGCTAAGTACGCGCTTACAATTGACGTAATTTTGGTAAATGTAAATTTTGAATAAAGTTAGATTGTTTTAGCCTATTTTCGTCCAAATACCTAGTTATTATATCACATTTTAATGGAAATTAAAGTGAGAGAAGATTGGTACCTTATCAAATTAGCAGTATCAAAGGAATGATGTTACAGAATAAATTATGCTGCTAACTGTAAGCAATAGCAAAGTTACTCAACAATTATTACATTGCCAGTAAATATTTTTATAATACTTACAAGGTACTTAGAGCAATTAAACCATTCATTGCAGCGGAGGAGAGATTAGTAAGTCTGTTATTCGCCAAATTTCTAAGCAATAAATATATACCTATTAAACTTGAATTCTATTCGATAGTTAAGACAATAAACTTTATATCTCGTATTAGTTTTAAATGCAATCGCTCGATATTAAGTATCCCACAAATAAAATGTAACAATTTAATACTTACAACATATCAAGATTAATTAGGGAACTTAAGCTGTCATTATCCAGATAGCTTATTTGATTGTCAGATAATTGCCTAAATTAGCAAATTAGGAATAAATTACTTATAAATAACTAATTTAATCTTAAACAGCTCATCATTATTGCAGTCTATATTCTCGTAAATATTAAGTACCGTTAATAAATGTTCGTATAACTAATACATATCTTTTAAGAATTTGAGTAACAAACGGAAATAGACACTAATACGAATGAAAATATCTATCCAATCTCATTTATATCTAATCTCATTTATATCTAATTTCATTTAATTTTGACTTAAGAAAATGATTATTCTAATAATACTTACAAGATTTGTAAATTGCTTAAATATGACAGCATACCACTATTAATAAATGCCAAATTATTTCCCTGCAGCCATCTAAATTTCAATGTACATATTAATTTACAAAAAGACATATCTCGAAATATAAGACGAAAATACTTCAAAATCTTAAGAGCTTACAATTCTCTTAATCTAATTAATCCCTTAAATGCTCCAACTGCAATATTGTCGATGGCATTATTATCTAAGAATCTTTCAAGTATTACGCTAAGATTAGAGATTCAACACGGTTTTAATCAGTACCGAACGGATGCATCGTTTAATTCAAAAATATGAAAGCCACAAAATAACCTTTCGTAAACAAACTCTTATCATGCTTTTTATAGATTAAACGATTTGGTTCTAGAAATACTTGTAAATTTATTTTAATAATTTAGACCTGCTGATCAAGATGCTAACAGTGCGCCTTCCTCGAGGCGAACGATCCTAAAAACTGATTGGTAAATCCTTGGTACTGCTGTCATATACTCATGCTCTAAGTATCTAGCTTATTAACTCTGAAAGGAATATAGCACAGTAAAGAATGCCGCCAAATTTTATTAAGATTGTATGAAATAAGTACTCGTAAAACAGCTAAGCGTCAATATCTTGCCTATCTTTCTGCTTGCAAAAAATTTCATAAAGAGTTAAGTTAAGGCCGAAAATATAATTGCAAAGGCGAATTTATCTTATGATAGACTAAGATACATATATGTAGCTCGATCAGTAATTTTTCTGTCTAACGATACAATTTAATATTCACTTCGCAATAGCAAAGGAAATATTGAATCGAGAAAATGATAACTGTGATTGTAATATAGATATACTTACAATGTCTTTAATTTGGATAAATTGGAAAAAGTTTGACTTTCAATCTTGTTAACATTATTACTTGACAGATCTCTATCATGAATCATATTGTGAGGTAATGTTCTCAATACATTTGTATTTAATCAAGAAATTTAATTATTTCTGTGATTGAAAATTTTTTGTTTAAACTGAAATGAACGAACATCTTTTTAAAAGCTAAATCATATAAAATCTTACATAGTTTCAATATTAATCAAGCCAGTAAATGCATTACGTTCAATAACTTCAATGAGATTGCTGGATAATTCACTGTTAATATAAAATGATGCTCAATAGCTGATTGACAATAGTTCGAGTTTTTAATCTAATATCACATATATCTTTACAATTTTAAAGCAATATTTTTGTTAGATATTATTCTATGATATTATTTAGATTTATCCGTACAATAAACTTACAGTTTTACTAGTGAAATGAACGTGGAAAAAGTTCTATTAACCAATTTAAGGATTCGATTAGAGGATAACTTCCTGAATTTCAAAATAAAAGAGCCAATTAATTAGGGCAATATTCTACTTTGAAACACACATATTTACTTTAAAATCTGTTAATTACGGTGAATGTAAAATTTATAGAGATCAAATATAAACGTATAAGAAATGAAAACAGTGTTCTACATTCGAAATGCGACGGTCTAACAATATAATTTCCCCAGAATGACATTCGATAATGAAATCATTATTAAATTATTTTTAAGCTATAAAATTAAAATTATATTATTAATCTTTGATATGTGTCTGTTATGCTGATTCCTAAGAATTAAACTATCTGTCTATGCTACGTGGAATTCTTCTGTCTAAGCATGTATTAATAATACATCTAGCAATAGGTAAATAAAGTAACGAAAAATTTAAAAATATAGCATTCATATGTAGCATAGCTTTTGCTGCTAAAACAATTCTGGTTGACTTTCAATAAATATAAGCATTGATAACATATTGCTAAACAGTTATTACTATTTAGAACAAATCATACAACTGTCTAAGGCCGGTTAGACCAGTAAAGATTTTCATATCAATACTTTTGATATTGTTTCTGTCCAATAACCTAAATTGTGACCAGAGAAATAAAGGTCCGACTTGATTTAAATACTTATCTTTAAATCATGATAAGGTAATATAATGAATAATATGTACTAACGAATAGCTATTAATAATATTATTCGATTTCGTTAGAAGCTGGACGAGTAATTATTAGTTAGCAAGATGAAATTGTGACATTTTATGACAACTCACAAATATTTTAACTTCGCTAAGCCCCGAAAAGCTCCGTCTTGGATATATGCAATTCGATTATTATATAAATCACTATATAAACATAAAATTGTTTCGAATTTTAATTTGAACGTTAAATATTTGTAACGTCCCCTACGATTGAAATTTATTTCAATCTTTTACTTTACATAAAGATATTTCGTTTTATAACTTACATTATAGTTAGCTTTGATAAATGAGCAAAAATGGAGCTTGTTAGCTTAGTTAACTGATTATCATTTAGATATCTATTCCAATCAAAGAAAACATGTAAATTCTCTGATAAGTACCGCAAATGTTAGGTATTATCGCTTATCATGTAAAGACATGATAACACGACACTGTACGTGTAGAGAGTTATTGTAATCACAGAAGCATTCAATTTTAAAGGACGAATAAAGTTATAAAACTTATTCACATAAATGGAGATGAACATTGGCGCTATGAGCCATTACATTGTATGCCTTAGTAGTGACGATATAAAGATTCTATATGATAAAGGTTACTCTCTCAGATATGATACATATCCATTACAAATTTACAGCAAGTTTAGAATTGACAACATGTCATAGACTTAAATTTTCACTCTTGAAGGATATTCGAGAGCGAAATGTTAATGCTTCGGCCATGCTTTAGGATCGTAATCCATTTTCAACTATTTCAATAAATTTTATTTCCACCATAGGTATACTTAGCTAGTTACGCTAATAATTAGTTCGTTAACAACATTACAAGTACTATTTGAAAAAGCAACTTACATTTTACTAATTCTTGTTGAATGATTAAAAATTCCATCTGGTATTACTCTAATCTTATTCATTTGTAGGTATCTACAGTATAGAAATTATAGGAAAATGCATGATTAACAATCAATCAGGAGGGTAACAACTTCTTAAAGAGCATACCAAATTCTACTATCAAGCTATGAAATCATCAAAGAACCGCATAGCTTTTTTCTTACTTTTATTATAATTGCAATTACTTTAAAATAGCTCATGCTTATTTTATGATTCGATCCATTGCACATTTGTACTGCATAAAGAAAGCCAACTTACACTATTCTTAGGTTTGGTTTCTCACTGAATAATCCAAGAGGCAAATTTTCTATACGTGTGTACCTGATATTACTTTGAAATTATACGTAATAATTATAAAAGAAATGCACAATAAGAGTAAGAATTAATATAGTTATAATTAGAATTTAATTTATGTCAACAAGATCTAACTATCTAGCGCTTAAACAAACTTTAAATTATAATTATTTTGATTTATCAAATCATAGCGCTGATATACATAAACTCGACTAGACTTTGTAAATAAAAAACTTACACCGAAAAGAGTTTCGTTAACCGGTCCAATGCGCGATTTTCTATACCGCAGATACCATTGCAATATTCTAACGTACTAGAAACATACTTACAATTTGATGTCTAATCCTACACCATAACTTTACCGTTACTTTATGACAGCATAAAAGTACACCACATGAAAGATACGCATAAAATTTACTGGCTGCTACTCACAGTCTCTTCAAATTTCGATTCATCGAAAATGCCTTAGAAGCAATTGTAATCTTCCCTGTATTAATTGCTCCGATGTTTCTAATTATAGTAAAGTATATCGAGATTGCATAAATCTGATTCGTAATCTGCAAATTAGATCATAGTCCAAGATTTACGATATATTATCAAATATTAGAAATCAAAACTCGGTTTTAATAAACAATAATATTTATGTCATTCTTGAATAACATAGATTTAAAAAATTACGAACAAGTCAGTCAAAGTAGATAAATTGGCAAATGTTTGAGAATTGATCTGAAGAGCGGAAAAATTTCCAAATCGAATGTATCTGCAACGACAAAAAAATTATATTGACTACAGCTATTTTTATCTTCTACAAATATCAATAATACCTTTTTCTCTAGTCAAATCTGATCGAATACAGTCACGTTTAACAAAATAAAATCCAACCATATTAGTTTAACCTTAACTAAAGTAAAGTAAAAATCTACAATAAACCTACGCAAAAATTCTAGCCTTTAAAAAATACTGGTACATCTAACAAATAATCTGAAGCAATAGCAAGCATTATTTCAGCACATTATAGGTCATAGTTTAGCTAATCAATAAAATCGTTGACAACTGCATTATTTCTTGGCTTAAAATATTTTAATGTGGTTCAAATATTAATATCGCTAAGGGAACTTACAATAATTTTAAATTATTAAACTGATGTAAACTGTTTGCGTCAAATCCTGTGAAGAACTTCCCTCCAATATACCTAAATATGTAATTATACAGATTATAATGAATTCCGGAAACTCTGTTATAGAAATTAACATAATTAAACCAAGAAATAAAGCATACAAGAGCAACAATATGGCTATATGAAATACTAGCATTCATTATGACCTTAGCTACCCAGTAACCAAACTATGATTGTATAAAGTTATCGCTATTGAGTAATTTATATTTTAAATCTAAGATTTAAAAGATGAATAAACATCATTTAATGTTGCATCATTGAGAATGATGTAAGACATTTATTATTAATTTTAAAAAGTTCCGGAAGTAAGATAAGATTTGTCATTTCTACATTAAAAACTTTCAGATGCACGTATATTATATATACATAGCTTTATTGATGAAGCTGCATTAAATCAATAGAAAGGTGATGAAGCGAATGAAAATAAAAATATAAGGATCTTTTCGTAATTACTGATCCAATTGATGTTAGATATAATGATCTTCAACAGATTGGAAATTAAGACTAATCTGCTATAGCCTTAGATTAAGATAAGCGATTCTTCTAGAGAAGGATCAATCAAAATTTAATTATGATTTGAGAGCATGTATATATAGATACAAAAATATTGACTATCTCGTTGATCGGCTAAGACTTCTATAGTAGTAATCATATCACATTTATAGATTCTTTAGATAGACAGGAAAGATATACAAACATAAAAAACAATTATCGGTACCATATTTGCTCAGATTATAACTTTAAAATTTAGTAAATCAATTTAAATATCACCGTCATCAAGACCGCAGCTAAAATTGTGGCTAAAATACATTCAATTTTTTATCTATTCAACTTACAAATAATTCAAGTTCGGAACTGTATCCATTGATCCTTGACGAAGTTGCACCATGAAATTATCGTGCAATTTTCTAATTTACAAATATACAATAGACTGTAAATTAAGATAGTAATGAAATGAAAACTGTTTAATTGTTATTGTAAACAGAAGTGATGACTTAATTGAAGATAGAAATGTCATATAACTGCATAAATAAATAAAGTTATTTCCAGTATGATTATCCACTATCACAAATCAAAAAAACAGCAATACAAGAATATCTTCAAAATTAAACTATTTTTCACCAACTTACAAGTTTTGAAGAGTATTGTTTTTACTGAATGCTTCAGATGTAAAACTTCGCATAAAATTACGTTTTAAGTTCCTATTAAATCAATTAATATCGGTATGAATACTGATCAGTAAAAGGTAAAAATTTAGGTATTACGGATATCTCTTAATTGATTTCAATAGATAAAATTAGCTATTGGATAATTTTTTGAAGATATGTTCTGAAAAAGTTTAAGGAAAAGAATATCAATAATTGTACTCCTACAAAATATCGACGGAGTTCTGGTTACGAAATAAGCTCATGATCAAATATTCTGAGCTTTCTAACGTTATCTAATATAATAACATTCCTATTACAGTATTATGCTACTATGGTGATCAATAGTCATTACCGCGTTCGAATAATTTTGTTAGTTTAGCCCCGTTCAGGTAATTTCTAGTTTGTATAAGTTTTTTTATTAAATATAGTACTTACTGCTGATAGCAGTCTCTCAAATGAACATTATGTAGTCTACGCATACTATATTTAGTCATAAGATATTTACGTTGTAACCATGGAATTGTTTCTAAAACTATTAATAGCTATGCTATTCAAAAACGACATTGAAAGATTTAACGTACTTTATTACAAAATTAATTTGTAGTACTCGCCTACCGAATATTAAGAACTGTAATTAGAACGTATATACCTAAATACTTAACATAATCAAAATCAGTGTAACTATTTGGCGGTTGCAGTAAAGTCTTAGCTTTGCGGCAACAATGTAATTGCTTTGACAGCTACGTTTTAATTGTAGTCAACATAACTATTTTTATGAAAACTAATATGAGATCCTTATTATACAATACCCGAAGTAGATGATGTGTGAAAGAATTTGGCAATTTAATAAAAAATTGTACTTAGCTCTGGATATGATTACTGAGTATCTTCGAGCTATAAATCCTATTCTAAGTTTATCATGATATTTTTTATACGTACAAATAGAACATTTTATTATTGTAATAAAATGTTTTGGGTTGAATTTCTGCAATCCGGTTATAACTTAAGTTTCTATACGTTATATTCAAAAAATAAGAATATAAAAATAATATAATGTAAATACGCGTACGTATGGAAAATTGAAGAGCTATAGAAATTGAAGTTTGGCCAAATACTTAACAGCACACGTAAACTTTTCAGTCGGCTAAATGTATCGACAAAGATTTGAGTGATTAAATTATCCATTAAAATTCTATAAATTTAGATCACATCATTGTCAGTTATTAATATAGATTCGCGAAAATTTTTCATCACAGATCTATGAAATATTGATCTATTTCATATAAAATGGTCCATTGTTGTCCGTTGTCAACGATACGAACATATCTCAATTAAATATTAGCTTTTTAAATAAACACAATATTGAGCTGTAACTACTAATCCTTACTATTTATTATATATGATAAAGTAAATCCGAGAGATATTCAATAACAAATTAAACATGTAGTAACAAGTTTAACTTACAAATTCCATACATTCTTTAGTCCAGTCAACATTTCTTGCGATAAGACGCTAATTCTATTCCCAGTTAAATCGCTAGTGTAAATAAAAATATAATTTTTCTACTCAAATTTTATCAACTTAATAAGACAATAATTCTAGCAATTTAATAATCGTATTATCATAACGAAAGGATTAAATAGATTAATTAGCTAAAAATGAAGTAAATTTAATACATAAACTGAATAAATAACTTACAGTTCAGATAATCCTTCTAAACCAATGAAAGAATTATTTTCAATAGATTGAATCTTATTAAATCTTAAGTTTCTATTTCAGAAGATACATCAAAAGCATTAGAGCTGTCACCGATCATGAAATACTGTCACTTATCGATAAAAGGCAAAAATTACAGCTTTCTCAGTCCGTGATAGGATAAAAAACTTCCATTTATTAATTTCTCTATTCCTGTCCTTTTAATCTTTCTAATTATGTTATATTATAGATAAAATAAAAGTGATATTTGTAAGTCATGAATTGCAAAATAGTATAATAATTTTTTCAAAGTATTGATTAGTATAACTCTGCTTCTATTCCTTATTCCTCACAAAGTTGTAAATTTAGATTGATTTCGTTCTAAGATAGTTGGTATTTCATGCATTTCAGAGCCAAGGCATTGCATGATTTCCTTTTGGCAAGTACAATGTACAGCACAATCAAATGTTTTACTCTGCGTACCTAAAAAATAAAGTATTTGAAAAGTATTTATTAGAGGTTAATTTGAATTACTATTAACGGCCTTTGAACTTTAAATTATGATGGCGAAAAATCAAATATTTAAGAGGCATTGTTGTCGTTCTATAGAACTCAAATTGACAGGTTTAAAAAATATATTCTGTTTCAGCTACAAAAATGAGTCTCTACTGAAATGATTCATACGAATCAAACTATGATAGATAATTACACATAATAAACTAAGGATAAAGAAATTGGCCTATCACCTAAAGAGATCTCCTTTAATCCACTCCATCAAGTATATTTTATCATTTAATTAATCAAAGTTCCCGTAATCATTATTAAAATCGACTGTAATATTAAGATGTCACGGTACGAACTACCGTGAAGAAATAGCCATCTAAATTTGGTTAATATAATATAGTGATATTATATTACAACTAGTTACTTACAATAGGAATTACTCTAATTATAAATGTGTTATAGTAAATTTAATGCTGTGCTGTAATGTGCACTGAAATGATTCTGTGAATGGACATATTGTAGTCCGACTGTGAAAAACTAGTTAGTAGATGTTCTCACCTAAGTATTTTTATAAGATAACTCGTGAATGTTAGCTGCTGTAGATGGGTATATAAGCCCGTCAGATATTTGAATAAAGTAGTTCTCAATTGTCTAGTTGAGTTTAACGTAGAATCAAAGGCGTCTAAATTCTTGTGAGGTAGTTAAGGGATACTGAATCCCGGAGACTATAGTAATTTAGAGATTTATTTTGCGTTATCCTTGTCACGAAGCTGGTTTGTGACATAAGATTATATTTAATGTTATACGTAGCACGAAAATAATTTGTAATATCGAATATCATAGACAGAAATAAATAACAATTTACCCATTTCACTGTCAGCTATTTTGCTTACGATATTTACCGTTGTCAAAATTTGATATTAGCTATACCGTAGCAATACTTAGTAAATTACTGGATAGTATGAAGTATTTATGCAGTTTAAAATTGAATTAAAATATTCCATTTCAAGTCAACGCTATATAAATGAATCTATTCTAGGGTGAATTTAATAAATCAGAGACTTTAAAAGCAATAGCACGGCCATAAAATTTTTCCTTTACCGTAGTTGCAAAGAGAGCAAAGTAAAATATACCAACAAAGTAGAATGATGTGTTTTATCTCCATGTTGATTTTATTGGTAGCTCCGTTAAGGAAACGTTGACCAAGTAGAAACGTTGAGATAATAAGTTACTTCACGAAAATGAACTTTTTGTAACCACTATAACAGAATGATCTTCTATCAAGGAGTTTTAAAATCCGAATATATGATCAGTTAAAAGAAATTTTTATGTCCTTGCGAAAGATTGTAATTTGATGCACTCTCAAGTTGCCCACTTTAAGTCAATTGATGGCTAATCGTAATTTCTGAACTCTCGTTGCTAGGTATGCTTATAATAGAAATATTAAACCGAATCAATCTTTAATTAAGCCAACCTACTATGAAAACTAGCTCTTGATATAAATTGAAAATTTTCAAAGATGTTCCTTCAAAACATGAGCGGATGTCAAAAGTTATTTGAAGCAAATCTGATCAATATATACTGTTTAATAATTAATAAGAAGGAAATTTAGGTTATTTGACACGACAATTGTCTCTATCACTTTTTCCAATTAATCTTCGAAGTATGCCGTCGAAAGGATATCAAGATGGCTAGTAGAGCATTCAATTCTAGTGTGGCAGACCCAGCATTGGACGTTCTCTGATTGAGCTTAGAAAAATTGAAAGAAAACAATATTTTTGAACGTCATCATTTTCTGTCAAAAGAATCAATACTGCCGTAAATTGTATTTAGCTTTGCAGTAGAGCTGTATCCTTATCTCGTAAGATTACTTTTGGTAAACAGTATCTTTCTTGATTTGTGTGCGCTAGTTAGACACTGTATATTTTTATGTATTGTCTCGACCACAGTTGCCCTACAGATTATTTTCTTTTTTATTACAGACTATATTAGTCAATTAAATACAAGAATATGCATGTATCTTTTATCAAAAACAAAATGAAATTTTACCACAGCTTGCTTAAGCTAACCTCAAAGTCAGTTCATTATTATTTAGCTGGGTTTTCCCCTATAATTCTACTCTACAAAATAGATCTTTTTTATTCAAATTTTTATTTATATTATATACAATGGCATACTTTACGTCAGGCATAGCAATACTTTCAATCAAACTGCATGATGAACTCTCAAATATAGGGTATGCCTCAGGCTCGGACTTTAATTCCCAGTAATTTGAATGATTAGTCTACTAGTACTTTTAAAAAGGTTAGCCCGTACACAAGTAATATTGAAATACATCAAAAAATGTATAATCTCTAGAAGACATATTGAACATGGATTTATATCAAATAGAATCTTATTAATTCATCTTATATGCTATTCAGATTTGACAATTGATATCTAGTCATTATCTATCGCTAACGTACAAAATACGCTATTCTACATTAACATTTGAAACTCCATTAACAACTTAATTTCTAGCCTATCTTACATCATAAAGTATAGACAAAAATATAGTTAGTATTGTTTAATTAAGACATTGAATTTATTAGGAAGTATGCTTAATTTGTTTTTATTATAATAAATGGAACGATATATTTGATGCAATAGGTCTGAATACTTGATTTAGACAAGAGGTGATGATAAATTAGAATTAGGTAAGAGCATAAATGTTACGGCACTACGTTGCCTAAATTATAGAGTTTAAGAAAGTATTGTTGTTGACAATGTTTCAGTGTTATAGTATGTTTTGTAGACTATAGTACAGCATGTCTACTGGTTTTGAGCCTTTTAGAAGGGTAGTTATTAGGCGTTAAGTAGCATTACTATATTCTAATTAGATTTTTCGGCAGATTAGGGTAGTAATCTGTAGAAGCAATTCAAAGTAAGTGCTTTATGTTAGACTAGTAAACTTGTCAGGAAGTAGTCCGTGAGAATAAACTAATAATTAATTAACTGGCTCAAGGCTAAATGAAGACTAGTATAATTATAATCGACAATAACTTGTTTACGAATAGGCTATACCCTGTACAATGAGAAACTCTTTAAGAAATAAAGATAATTATAAATTAAATTTTTAGGATACTTGTACGCATTGTAATCCAAAGAATTATTTTTGACAAAATGCCTGATAAGTTTTCGCTATTATACTAATTGTCATTGTCAGTATATTTTGTAAGAGTTGGTGATGCGAGCTAGGAATAGCCCTAACTTGCAACAAGGGTTGAAAGAGTATCTCCTGACCTACATTGTTGTTATTTGGAATACCAGTCAGCTGGTATTGCTCAGCAGATAGGATTCAACACCGAGAGACCTTCAAACTTTCTAGAAAATCACAAGCTAATTTATTAGTGGCGAAGTCACCGCTTATATAGGTTTTACTACCTAAAATCGGTTTAATTACACAAGTCACCTCGTCTATTAGAAATTAACCAAATACTCTAAAGAGCCTCTATCTGTACAGAATAAACATAGTCTGATCCTATTAAATTTACTGTATCAGTATTAAATTAATCAATTCGTAATAGTAGTTTAATAAATACATATTAGGCTATCTGTCACAAATATCTTCTTTTCGTGAGCAATTAAACTTCTCTAGTTACTATTAATCTCGTTGTAAACTGGCTATTACTGTCGAGGATAGAACTACTTGAAGTGTTTTAATTTTATAATATACTTTATTAGTAAATATATATAAGTCCGGGTTGCAGGCCTGTCTATTTCGATCGAAATTAGGAACTGAACAAGCTAGTCCGAGCTCGCTCTTTTATACCCTTGGTGCAGGCCGTTGGTGCATTGTAGCGAATTGGGCTCTGCTTATTTTACTAGAATTTATATTAGAATTTCTTTACAATTGACAACAGGACTTGGTATAGACAAAGTTTGTAAACAACATTAATTAGAATAAATCAATTAATAACCAATTAAAGCCCTCAAGCTCTACACTATATCAACATATTTTTGATAGGTGCTATAGCCTATCATTAGATTACTTAATACTAAGCTAAGTAATTCTATGACAACAATATAGACGGTGCATCTACATCTAATATTAATAATCCGAAACTCAATTAGCAATAGCGAGTCGCAACTGACAAGAATTGATAAACAACATTAAAAACAATTAGAAATATTAATTTAGCTTACGGTGTCAGACACCGTAACACTATCCTACTAAGATATTTCCTCTAAACTTAGAAATTGTACTTTAAATCTTAATAATCTTGGAGGTGATAGATACAACCCTGTTAAACTAATAGGCAATTACTATCCTGGTCTGTCAAATCCTAAATTAAAAATTACTAACATATCAACTGCTAATCACTAAAGTTACAATTAAGGAAACCTATTACAAAAGATGCTCTGCAACAAGATAACGTAATATGCGATCAATAAACCGATTCCCTAATCATTGATCAGGGAGCAATATCTACCCTATAAGGAACGCTTTTCTTACACTAGTAGACTCTAAAAAGATTTAGACGCCACGTATTTTACGTTAAGCACTAATCTTAAAAACTCTCATTTTTATACGATATACCGCATTTATATACTCTTTCACAATAGTTAGACAGTCTGCTTAGTAATATTTACATTGAAACCTTTTAATGAATCAATAGCTAATTTTATCTACTGCTACCTACTAATGACAACGGTATTTACGAGCATAGACATCTAATGACTAATGCAAATTAGTCAGATTACGATATGTCCTATCATGGAACATTTCCATGATAATCTATAATCTACCACAAGTAAGTTACAATCACAATAATTTGAATTGTAAATTATCCTTACCTAGATATTTCTGCTCTAATCTCGATATTACAGTGTATAACACAGTAACAAGACCGTAAAAATTTCTGAAATACAATACATATAGAATGTAGCATAGAAATAAAGTATACATCACGAAGATTACTTTCCAGACAGTTAGACATAATAATAATTTAATTGGAAATTGGCATCAATCAATTCATATCAGCCATATTTGTAACAAGGTAATTATGTTGATCTTACTATCGTGTAAAAATGTAGAATTTTTTCAAATGCGTATAACAGATAGTCTTATGAGATGCAATTGGAAAATTTCGATCCATGATCTTTATATTGTAAATATTTAAAGTACTGTGTATATGTAAGTAGTTTCTTTATTCTTGTAGACAATATCTAAATTATCATTCTTCAGAAATGTTGATTTGCGCTAGTAGGCTTGCTAGAGCTAGTTATACTAGTAGCAGATTAACTCCGGATAGCGCATAACATGTAATAACATATTATCAATCTTTTCAGATTATACATCTTATCGCAAAGCAATTGCGTAACGAGGGTTACGTAACAATAAATCTTCGAGATCCAGGATCTCTTTTCTCCCTAGAACTTCGGTACCTTTGTTTTTACATTATACGACTAGAGAATTAATTTATTCAATTATCTACTTAGCTTACTTCAGTACTTATCGGCACTGACGAACATTAATCAATCATGCTAATATTTTAACAGTTCAGACTTATTTAATAAATAAATTAATACTACAATATTGATAGTCATGAAAATCCTCCGACTAATACTAGAATGACTCGATTCGAACAGTTCCATGATATAAAATACTATGAAATATTGCCACATAGGAAGAAACAATTCCGCAGTTTAAACATCCAAAATACGGGTCGCCAATTGATCTTTGTTTACCTCCAGGAAACCGCATGGCATTATAACTTATCAAAATTCTTTCAGCCATGTATTCGTTTCGGGCTATTCGGAATATCATCTTATACTCTATATTCTTCATAACGACCATGACTCATAGTAAAAGTTCGATTAAGATTCGTGTCTCGAACTGAAGCCGGTAATCTACTACATTGATGTGGTGCCATTGATTTACCGTCCTGAGCTATTCGGCAAATACATGGCGTAATAAAATAATTATAACTGTACAAGAACGGATTAAGAGCTGAATTAATCGGTAATGCAATTATGATTACAAATTTTAGCTCAAAGATATCCAGAGAATTTGTAAAGAGAACTTTGCACATGATAAAATAGTAAGGAAGCCACGACATTAAATCAGTTAATAATATGACGGATAATTTCCTTGCTAGTTTTCGATCTGATGCTACTGATGTGCGATATACTGAAGCACTACTTCGATATGTTTTTTTGAAGACTAAATAGTATAATACACAAATTATTAACCATGTACAAACGGTTAAAAATGTAATAATTAAAATCCACGTTTTAAAATAAGCATTCTCTATATTATTGGGCATACAAATGCTGCTATATTTATAAATTCGATCGTTACCAGCAGCATTAGTACTTGTAATCGTAGCTATTCCGACATAGAATATACATAACAACCAGAACAGGATGATTATCGTTCTGAAACTGTTATATTTATGATTTCGGCTTCGATATCGAATTGGGTGAACAGTACGTAAGCGAAGATCAATACTAATTAGCAACATCATCAAGACCGACATGATGCTCGATAAACTACCAAAAAAAAAGGCTAATAGACAAGGTGTACTTCTTAACCAATTTTCTGAATATTGACCATATTGATTATGATAAAATTGATCAGCAATCGCGATTATAAACAAATAGATAGACATTAAAAAATCGGCTACACTTAAATTAATTAAGAGTAAGTGAAAAATTTTCTTCGATCGATCTTTATCTGAAGTTTTCCAATGGGAGCAGAATACCAATATATTACCAACAAATGCCATGCTACCAGCAATCCAGATATAGAGTCGCAGGGATAAATGAGATAATAAATGCTGACAACTTGATAATGACTCAATAATTATAGGTTGACACGTTGTTACTTTAGCCGGAACCATACAGCAAAAGTAGTCACGGTTCGTCAGACTAGATTCCAAAGTAAAGCGATATTAAAGATGGAATTGATTAATTTAAAAAATAGCTGTAATAGCTAAAGCTAGGTAACGTAATAGTCGTGGAAAGATTCATAGACCTAGTTTGTTCTAAATTAAATTATATGTTCCTATAACGCTAAAAGAATTATAATTATATATTCTTCAATTTTGCATTAGTCTTGTTTGCCGTAGATTAAAGCATGATTAAGGTTACTCTAATAGATTATCTTAGAAGAGATGTTACAGTAGTCAAATAAATACTAAAGGGTTACTATAAGTTAGTAAGTGTTGCGGTATAGATATCTTAAAGATATAATAAAATCATTAATGCACTCATAAAACTGTTAATGAAAAATATGATTAAATTGTTAATTTTCAGAAACTGTTATAATAATAAATATTGGTAAGAAATTATACTTTTAATGGGAATTTGGAGTGATAGAATTTAAAATGGTTGTTTTCGTATAACAGAGCGAGAAAATATAGCTAGTTGTTAATTGTCGAGCTGAATAGCGAGTAAAATGAATTAATAAGAATGCGTCTCACATAAATCTATACTAATTTTATCTTATAAAGACTATATAATTTATATATGTTTTAAATATCATTGATGTACAGGCTATTCTTGTTAAAGGTATATAAGAGTTTCATAATTAACTATGTAAAGAGAAATGTTAGATGAAACCGTAGTGAAAATCCATTTTATTACAAAGACTTTTTTGCCTAGTGTGGAGCTATTTTTAAGTATTTAGCTGACTAATGTAGTAAAGCTAGGTCGTTATGACTAGAAACGCTTAGTAGCAGCCAACTTAGAACTAGCTATACTTTCAACAGAGAAATTATCTGTGTTGCAATTGTCGTTACAGCATAAGCTATGGTGAAAATAAGAACATTGTTCGACATAGGTATGTTCTAATATAATAGTTTGCTTTACGTATTAACTAGAATTTCACCTACTGACAGTCAGAGTGCTAGTATGGAAGGAATTACGAGGCTATTTCAAGATTAAGGATGAAAACATTTGTGCTATTCAATATTTATTAGTTCTCTATTCCCTAATGCGTTCTTATAGCTTCCTAAATTAAACTTACGTTGTTGATAAGTCTAGAGGCCCATAAAGAGACTGCGCATGAACTGATGTTAATGGATTATCCTTTAATGATCTTTTAGTACAGGTATAATATTTTTAAATTAATTTATAGTTAAATCGATTAAAATCATCAAAAGACAGTACTTACAGTAACCGAAGATTAGATAACCTTTGCAGACACCTTGATTGTAACACTTTGATATTTGATCGATCAGCATAGCTATTATAGTATGAAATAATTAAAAAGCAGTCAAAAAGAAGTGAGCAATATGCATTTTCTACTCCAAATTTATCGATACGAAACTATCGATTAATTAATTAATTATATATATAATGCAGAGATATGTTATATACTCGTAAAAGTATTCCTTCAAATAAATAACGGCTAATTTTTTTTAATCATCTGAGGATAACATATAGCATTCATATTTCAAAGTAAGAATTTAAACATTTAATGCTTGCATTAATCATAAATTCATACATCATTTCTAGCTTTGGAGCAAATTTCTGCCAGTCATTATTGCAAAAGTTCGAGATATCGTTGTCCGATATATTCCTGGAGCAAATCAGTAATGCATATATTTTTATTGCTTCAAGTATTTTTTGTATTATGAAGTGAAAACTTTGTAGCTACCACTTCAAGATATATTCATAGATGTAAACAAGGACAAGTATGAGACTACAGGTAGACTGTCGAGTATTAACTAAAATTGATAAATATATTTACGTATGATAATCGTTATGTTTGTGAACTTACAAGAGCTGCAATTTTAAGAAGCGAATATTCTGTCTATTTGTAATAGCTTTCAAGTTGTTACTGGAAAGTTGGCTAGGATATATTTTAAACGACAAATTATGTATATCTTTAAATATAAAGAGACTATCACAAACTACTCGATTATCTTATTCATTGCTCAAGCGAGCAAACGTAGAAGCATTAATTTTCGCTATAAATTTTAGCTTTCCGATCTTACAGTTCCCGCATATTACTATCGCTTCCATAAAAAATATCTTCAACATCAAACTCAGTCAAATTATTATTGTTCAAATACCTAAATTAAATATTTCACGTTAGCTACAAATTTATACCGTATGCTTAATATTATTATTATACAATTATACAATGTATAACGGTAAATTCCAAACTTAATACGAAGCAGACATCTCAAAACGTTAGTAAGAATTTAGATATACCTTACATTTAGGCATATTGCAAAAAAAGACTAGTAGTTTGTTACTTTATGAGCCAAGTACTAGCAGTTATATGAAAATTATGCAAAATTCACGCTGCGTAGATAAGCGATCGTGGAAATATTAAAACCCAAATGAATTTAAAATTACTTTTATGTAAGTACAGTATATAGCAATGAGAAAGCAACGAGAATGATCATATTATATTAATAAAGGGTTGCTATAAAACTGTAGGACTTATTACAATCACTGTTTTCACCGGTTAAAAGTTCTTCAAACTAGATATTAACTACCATGAACATAGTATAAGTATAATAGCTTCCATTTCTGACTAGACTATACAGTACTACCAAACGGCTTAAAATTGAGACTAGCATCTACTTACAATGCGTAGATTAAACCTTCTAGATTTCGTAAACTGTTGGTTGGAAGTTTCTGTAACTTTAAACCGCTTAAACCTCTGTCAGTAGTAGTAGCACAAATAGATTACTATCCCAATTTATATATTTGTAGAAATTTTACATATAAATTTAGAATATATAACAGCAAAGAATTAAAACGAAACATATCTAACATACAAGTACATAAACCAACAGCGGAAGACCCATGGTGTAACAAAGACATTATACCATCCATTTATTGCGTTGCGATGACAAGAGTGGAGAGGGAACACATTGCTAATCAAACGTTGTACTTCATCAATTGGTAAATCATTGTAACTAATATCCCTGGAACGAAAGAAATAGCACCAAGATTTAAATTGGAGATTTATATCATGACAAACTCAATAATTGATAATGAATTTACCGAAAACCTCAGTAATTAATCTAATAAATTGAACAGCTTACAATCCTATTTCTTTTCTAAAGAGACCATTCTGATATGCTTGCCATAAATGTGTAATTCTATTTCCGCTAATTCCACTATAAAAAAAAGTTTTATGTAAAACATATTTAATTATGTCATTCCAATATAATCTATTTCTTCGAACAGAACGGTTTAAAATATTAACGACACATTTCCATAGCACATTCGATGATTAAAATTAGTATCCGTTTTTAAATTTAGTCTCACAGCCGAATAAGTCTTAAATCTCGACGAAATATTTGATCGACAAATTCAGGGACATTAGAAGCCAATTTATTAAAACTGACATCCCTGAAATTTAAAAGAATCGTAAGTTAAATAACAAACATGCTACCATAAATCGCTAAAGTATATTCTCGCATAGATACTGAATATTTATATTTAATCCCTTAATAATTAAGTACGCAATATTCCATGAAGCTTACAATTCATCAGTCAGAATTTCAAAGAGGGAATAGCATTGATCTGATATGAATTCAATATTATTATATTTTAGGAACCTTAACCAGTGAAAATAATATTGATGGCGGAAAGTTAGTAAAATGAATAGCCATATTGATAATCTACATCATGATTTAACGCATTCACTTTCAAGTATATTTATGGCTCACGAATTACATTGATTTTAAAGAGATTTCTGGTAGTTGGTGGTAACGACACTTGCAAATTAATTCTCTGATGTTATTATGGCTTACGGAACTAATTTAGAAATATGGAAATAATGATTGAAATCAGCAGCGAATTAAATTGACGCTTAGTTTTCAAACTACTAATACAGGAACAGAATATGTGTTTGAAGAACGCTTTTTCTCATTCATAATAGTACGCTACTTACAGAATTTGAAGTTTATTAAGTTGAGTAAAACTTGTATCTTTTATGCTCGAAATAGAATTGTAATCCAAATAACTACGAAGATAAATAGAATAAGTATAATTTTACGCCGTAATCATGAGCTCCTAGAATCGTAAAATAAATCGAAAATGTCATTATTATTATCAATAATAGATCTATATCTAACATTGCTTCTAGGCCATTAAGACTTTTAAAATCTTCCTCATCTAATTCTTTAATTTGATTATCAATTAACGATCTGTGAAGAAAAGTCAAGTTTATTCAGCTTTATCAATCAAATTCGCTTTGAGTATAACTAACATTTTCTGCAAATTCTTTAAACTGGAAAAGCGGAGAAATGTTAAACTTGCTATTCGATTATGATTTAAAGACCTATAAGGTAGAAAATTTGAAACTTTATAGAATGGGAAATCAACAGCTATATATAATATCTTATGCTCAAGTTGCTATTGTATTGAAAGAGTGAATTTTTTCAAATATCTTATAGCATAAATTTTGGCTATACACTAGATACCTACAGGAGCTGAAGTTGGCACAGTCCATCGAAAGTACCGTTCTCGATGATACTGATCTTATTCGAAGAGAGGTCTCTAATAATCAAGTACAGGTTTTGAGGACCTACATCAAATACATTCTAATTCTAATATCGCTTATAATTTTATTTCTTCAGTAAAATCTAACTACAGCTTTAATCAGCCACATTGAGATGACACGTTAAATTTTCTATCTTAATTTATAGCTTTTTGCATTTACGGCAGTGAGATTTAACAAAGGTTAACCTTAGAATTCCCCTTCAAGATAATTTTACTACAGAGTTACGAAAAATTAAGCGTGACACCATACAACCAAATTTTAAGGTATTAGCCATTTGGCCAAGGTAAGTAGAGCATAAAAATTAGTATTATATTGCCACGGTACAAACTACCGTGAAGACTAAATGATTAAATTTGGTGGTTAACATTTATATATGGAGACAACTAATAATAACTTACAGTAAGAACTGCAGAAGTTATTATTTTGTTACAGTAAATTGCGCTGTACTGTGGTAAGAGTTCTTATACAGTAACTAATATTAATTGATTGTAGTGTACAGTGTTATATCTTGTAAGGCTTGTGATGAATATCCTGAAGATATTCAATTATAGATGATACTATAAATAATTCTGTGTACGGATATACTGTAATCTAATTATCTAGAGTCGTTCAGTACATGTCTAAGATTATGAATAATTTCTGTATTAATTTAGCTATCCAATATGAACTAATTTTCATGAACTGTTATGACTCATATATGATAGCAGCTGCCGAAGGATATTCAAGTTCGGCAGGTAGTAGAATAAAAAGAGTTCTATAGTTGTTTAACGTAGAAGCAAAGGCGTCTAAATTCTTGTGAGATAGTTAAGAGATACTGAATCCTGGAGACTATAGTAATTTCGAGATTTCTTTTACGTTATCTTTGTCACAAAGCTGGTTTGTGACATATATACGTAAAATTTGCAAGTTTTAAGAGACTGAATAATTTATACACTTCATCCTTTTTTACTTAAATCGGCATCTTTGCTAGGATAGAATTAAACTTAACGTCTTAAATCCTCATAAGCACATTACAAATAGTAATGCTTACCAATAATAATTTCTGAGAAATAGCAGTATTCAATTATATACATTAACAGTAGTAAGGTCAACAAATAATAAATTAATTAGTTTTAAGATGTCATGCGATTGATAAAAATAACACGTACGAAAAATAATAGCATCGACATGAAAAAGACAGAAAAAAGTAGGCTAAAAGTAGCGATTAAATAATTTAATACAATTAGATGTTATAACTTACAGGAGAGTAAGATTCTTCAGCGATTTAAATAAAGCAGATTTTAACTTTGTTATGAAATTTTGTCGTACAGATCTTAAAAGTAAAATCATCGATAGATTAGTTATTTTGCAGAATATAACTAGAAGATATCATATTTTAGTAGAAATAAATAATTTGTCTATCTGCAAAGAAATTCCACCCTAGCGGTTAAAGATAGAAAGATGAATTCTATAGATTATTTCTGCTATTATATAGAAACATTTGGACTACGCATCGAACAGTTTATCGAATTAACTATTGGTTAACTTACAGGTTTTGCAAATTTTTTAAATCATTGATAACGATTTCGTTAAGGCATTTAATTTTGTTATTGATTAATGTCCTATTTAATACAGGGAGAGAATTCATATATGATGAAAATATGCTATTAATCTACTATTATAGATAAGTAATAGCTCACTATACTGCTTGGGAAATAAACAATAGAAAAGAGATAATGTAACTTACAGGCTTATCAAACTTGAAACATTCTTAAGAAATGGTTTAGAGTCGATGGGATTACTATCAATTCGTCTGAAAGAAAATTTATTAGAAATTGTGATTGACGAGAAAATACAGTTAATAGCTGATGTTTGTGTACGGAACTAAATCCATCAAAACACCTAAATTGAAAGTTCTCTATATCTCAATTAAACTTACAAGTGCTTTAGATTACTTAATGAACTAAATGTATCTCCACGAAGATAAGCAAGTTGATTCCCTGATAAGTTGCTATACAATAAGGTTATAATAAGACAATCTAGATTGCTTAATGAACTATATGTGTTTCCATAAAAATGAGCAAGCCGATTTCCTTATAAATTGCTATACATTAAGGTTACCATAAGACAATTCAGATTTTTATTTTTTGCAATCACTTGTATTTGATAAAAGCTAGATCTTAAATCTTCATCTAGATTGATCTACTACGGCCTGAATAACGAGCATAAATTATATATATATTACTACTTACATATCTGTAAGATACTTTTGACAAGTTAACCCTTGAAAAAATCCTGTTGGAATACTTGCTATTTTGTTTCCTCTTAAATCACTAGTAAAAATCGTAATTGCCTTTATTATGCAAAAAATGGTGCTATATCCTAGCCTACATGAGACTTATAAACTTACAGTAGTTCTAAAAAAGTTAAACTTGATAGATGTTTCACGGTAAGAAAGGCTATTCTATTATAGGATAAATTTCTAAAGGAAAATAGGAAAATGGTTTGAATCGAATACCGAAAATTTACTGTGTATTACTATCAATATCATATGTGTGCATTAACTGAATAATCTTCTAATAGCAGGTACTATAATTCTGTAAGATTAAATGAATATAATTCCGATATTTCAATAGTATAGTCTAATGAACTAATGTTCATTTATGGACTAAAACTTACCTGCGTTAAGCAATAATGTTAAATATCATATTTCAACAATTTAAAATCTAGTCAATGTTGATTGATAAAAACAAAAGTAGCCTTACAACATTTTTATTTGATCTTGAGGATTAAATTGAGGTAAGTCATAGAGAAAATTGTGCGATAGATCCCTATAGCATCAAGAGTACGATATATTAGCTTTACTCCTAGATGCTGTACCATTAAATGGCAATTGACAATATATTTCGATATTTGTTATTGCCAATGATTGTTACAATCAATCTATTCCATTCAACAACTTTTCGATAAAAAGTTATTGAATAATAATCCTTATTTAAGTTAATATCAAGAAATCTGTAATGGAAGAAACTATGTTCGATATATGTGCAACTTTCAATCTCTTTCTATTGTGTACTATAATTTTCATACAGTTTACGACAGGTTAAGGAAATATTCATCAATTGGCGGTAGTGGTTACTAATCTTACTCCTGGATAACGATCTAATAATGGTAAGAAAAGTTAGATATGAAATAACAATATTATGTATGTCTGTCAATACTATGTAGTGATGAAAAAACATACAGCTTGAATTGACCTTATAATAGAATTTATAAAAGTAAGGAAGCATATAAAATGTAGTCTTTACTCACATCTTTTTAATATTATGAGTCGATAAAATACTATCGTAACTGGCAATTAAGTTGCCATCTAACGCTCTATAAACGAAATAACGAAATTGAAATGGTGAGTAGCCAACCGACATCCGTGATGCAATTTAAAGCTCAAGCCTTTGTAATAAGGTTAATTTAAGTTCCACTTATACTCTAGAAATGATAATTTAGGGATGTAATTATAATTTGTCAAGCAGCACTTACATAGCCTGTAACTGGTATAATTCATCTATTACAATTTGTCCCAAAACCCTAATCTGATTGTTTCTTAAATATCTTCCAAAGAGAAAACAAGACCAATCGCAAATCATAAATCAGCGTCCATATAAGATAGTTTTCAGAGTAATTTGACATTAAAACAATTAAGTATCCTATTACAATTGACGCAGCTTAGGTAAACGTAATTTTTGAATAAAAGTAGATTCTTTTAGTCCATTCTCATCCAAGTATCTAGACAAACATGTTATATATGATATATTAAATTCATACAACAAAATTGTTATAAACTAGAAATGACAGTATATTGTATCGATGTTATACATTTCGCATTTATCTAGTACTGTTAAATCTACTTCATCATAACTACAAGATTGATCAATATATTTAATGCTTACAAGACATTTAGAGAAGTTAAACTGTTCATGGCAATGGCAGAAAGACTCGCAAGTCTATTGTTGGCCAAATTCCTAAGGAATAAACACATTACCAGTTAAGCATAAATGCTATTAAATAATGAGCTATATATACTGTACTTCACAAGTAACTATAACACCCGTATTAAATACCGTATAACCACTAGTCAATTCAGTTATAATCTTTTGCCTATAGAAATCATGATACCCTTCTAGTTAAATATGTCGGATTGCTACTTACAACAGCTTCAGATGAATTAGGGAATTTAAGCTTGTATTATCTAAATGACTTATTTGATTGTCGGATAATTGTCTAAGATAATAAATTAGATAAATCATCCACTATAATACCTAGTATAATCTCAATTAACTCATCACAGTAGTACTATTCTAAAAAAATATTTATATATCTGGCCTTAAGACTATCATTTGACTGAAATATTCACATAGAGATACAAGCACGTACGATAATAAAAATAGGACTTGAACTTATTCCGTTTGATATTTAATTTTAGTTAAATTCAAATTGATAAAATTATAGTTGTAACGATACTCACAAGATCTGTAAATAATTTAATTCCGATAGCATACCACTGCTTATAATGATCAAATTATTTCCCTGTAGCCATCTAAATTTTAATTTATATGAGTATGACAATTCACAAACTTAATTTCACTGTGATACAAAATACGACAATAATCTGCAGAACTTACAATTCTCTTAATCTACTTGAGCCATCAAATGCTCCAGTTTCAATGCTGTCTATGGCGTTATTATCTAAATACCTTATAAGTAATGCAAAGGCTAGTGCGTTATGAAGGTAGTAATCAGTATATAATCTAATCTTATAATGATTTGCTCACTTAAACATATATTGTTTACTCCTTAGAAATTCTTTCCAAGTTTATTTGCAAAATGAGTATTAAATGGTAATGCTACCAAGATTATATAAGATATACTTACAACGTTTCCAACTTAGGAAAACCTGCAAAAGTTTGCCATTCAATCCTGCTGATGTTATTACTTGAAAGAGCTCTAATATATGTCATAACATTTTATGATTTTATAATTCAAAAGTTATTAACCCTACTATTCGAGCATATTTAACCAAGACATCTATTATTTTTTAAAATCGTCGTTGCTCTCATAATAGCTTCAGACGATGAAATAAGGTTATATTTAAAATCAATTTACCACTTACATAATCTTGATACTAATCAAGCCAGTAAATGCATGATATTCAATAATCTCAATAAGGTTACTAGACAATTCACTATTAATAATGAAAATAAAACATCTTAATGTCTGGCTAGGTGACAGCCTAAATTTTCCATTTAACATGAAGCATGATCTCAGCAATCCAAAAAATATAATTTTATTCAAAGTTTCTTACTATAATATTTATATTTGAACCAGACTTACAGCTCTTCAAGTGAAGATAGCACAGAAAAAGTGTTATTAACCAATTGAGGGATTTGATTGGAAGATAACTTTCTAAATTTTAAAATGTAAGAAGATAGTTAAATTATACTAATGCGACTGGAATGAAATTTTTAAGCTACATAATAATTCTGTAACTAAGAAGTATGAAATTATAAGAAATGGACAACGGCGGTTCTACATTCAAAACGACAATGTAATCGGCCTGAAAACCTCCTATAATGAGACTACTATTAAGCTACGGCAATGTTTATAAAGTAAACCATCTCATTAATTTAATGTTTACGTAAAATGTAAATATCGACCGCGTACATATCAACACATCAAAATATATATTCATAACGTAAGCAATAAGCCAATTAAAAAAGTCCATATGTAATGGCGATAGAAGTAAATAATAGATTTTATGAAGTACACCAAAGTATACTATATCCTCGCCATAAAGAAGTTAAGCTATAGTAAGATGAAATTTATATTAGCAAATGATTGAGGTCTCTAATCAGAAATGAGAATACTAATATCAGATACTATTAACGTAAAGCATATTTACAGATGGGTATTTCATTAATACGTCGTACTGTAAATTACCGTCAATTTCTTATATAATTTCTACTAAGATGAGCAAATTCTAGCAAATACGCAATTTAATATAAATACGGGCATTATAATAATTATCAATTAGTAAAATAATATTTCTTATTTATTAAATTCATACAAACGCTGAAGGTTAGTTAAGCCAGCGAAAGTTTCCATGCCAATGGTTTTGATGTTATTACTATTCAAGTATCTAAATCGCAATATCATCAATTATGTGTCAACAACTTACTATCTAAATTCGTAGTCTCACATTACTTTAAATATACCATCTTAGAAAATGAAAATTGATAAATAATAAATTGTACATATTCTCGTAAATAAATGATCAACCTTGTTTGATTGATATTATCAATAATTAGCACGAAAGCAAATTTATTAAAATTTACTTACAAATACTTCAAATTGGCTAAGTCTCGAAACGCTCCATTTTGGATCAATGCAATTCGATTCTTATACAAGTCCCTACATAAATGCATATTATTTCAGATTTTAGTACACGAGCCAAAACGATGACATTTTCTTATACATGAAATTTATTCAATTTATGATCACTGCATACAAGTATTATCACATAGCTTACATTCAATATTATTTTGTTAAATAAGCTGAAAGTAAGCTCGTCATTTGAGTTAGGAGATTACTATTTAACTAGATATTGTTATCAAAATAAATTTTCGTATTTATTTGACAATAAGAGGATGCAAAGGATAATTGCTGTACTAGTACCACAATAGTAGAGCGCTATAGTTTTTGCAATAGTTTTGGAGTAGGATGTATTTCGGCACGAGAAATAAGTGGGTGTAATGAAAGTTAGAGATATCAACAACAATGAGTGATTGATGTAGTATTATGATTTTACTAGCCTAAAGTTAGTAATTTGGCTATACTTCTATAAGAACGTCAATGCGAGCTTCGAAATTTATTAGAACCATAAATAGTGCTAGCAGTCTAAGTAATTTATGATTTTTTAGCATAGAGATTGTACCGAATTCGGTCAAGTAACTTATCTATTAAATTTTTCATTGATATTTCCTTACACGAAAATCTGTAAATAGCGATATACAGGTATATAAGTCAGATACTAAAGTAATTAAAGACGAGTTGTCATCGGAGTTACTTAGCAGCGCCCGTTATCTCTGTAATAAAATGATTTAACTAGGTTTCAAATCTGTGTTTGGCTGTGACTAAGGTCCTAAACTAAGTACGGTGTATTAGAGATGCTAGGTGAGAGGTTACGAGAGTAGAATCTAGTTTTACTCCGGATAATTTTGAATTGTAAACGTGATTGAGACATAATCTGAGTTTATTTAGGCTTCGCTGGATTTGAAAAAGTTCTGAGTGAGATATTTTAATACTTTAACCGGTTATAACTGGACAAATATGATTTCTTTCGATTTTTTATGCAGAACCCTTAAAAGAGTAATTTAAAACTGGGTTGCACATTTGTAGTGACCGAGTAATAGTCTCCTGCTATTATTATTAGCCACCTGCTATACTACTACAATTAGCGGAAATCAATACAAGATTATTGCAAATCTAGGTACAGCGAAATTGCATCCATTCACCTAGAAAACATGATATACGTGCTCTCTTTCTTTTATTTGTTCTTAATAAAAATAGTTTTGATTGGGCATAGAATTAGCTACAGTAAATACGATGCAGATTTAAATTTTTTTACCAACAATAAAAATAAAATTAAAGCATAAAATAAAGAAATTAATACTTACTACAGTGAATTTATAATGTTTCGCAGATAACTATTTTTAAGACCTTTGATAACTCGCTACGGTGAGAACTTACATTTCTCGAATTGCTGTTGAGCCATTAAAAAGTCCATAAGGTATTGCTCTAATGCTGTTCATCCGTAGCTTTCTACAATATAAAAATTAAATGATTGACTATCAATCCCAAATTAGAATCTCTTTCTAAGCACCAGAATGCCGAAATTCTAATACTAGCTGCAAATTCTGACATTCAACTAAGCTATTAACTCCCTAGATTTATTTTGCTAAATTCACTTTCGTATCTCGAAGAAATTGCTAGATCAAGGCATATCAAAATAGAAATATTATTTTTGTGCCTGTAAAAAGAGAGTCAACTCACAACTTTGCCAATTTCGGTTTTTCACTAAATAGACCATTTGGTAAATTTTCCACTTGTGTGTATATGATATTGCTATAATATTGCTTAAAATAAGTATGCAAGAAATACAATCTCGAAACAAATTGAGTAAGAAACTTACACGAACTTAAGGTTCTTTAATTTATCCAAAGCTCCTTTCTCTATATACCGAACACCATAGCAATATTCTATAAAACTAGAGCAACATATAAAAAATGTCAAATCGAGATTCTATTTAACACAATTACGCTATTAGTAGCGTCAGAATTCCATTTACATCGTGAAGTATGAATCATAGAATTTAGCGATAAGATTGCATTTTTTGTATTAAAGTAAAAGCACGTTATAGCATATGCCAGTTGTACACTTCGAAAGTTCAAACGTATTTAATATTGTTTAATTTCTGATATTTAACTTTGTAGAAGCTATAATCGGTATTAATTATATTCAAAGTAAATGTGACTACATGCTCGATATCAGGAGCTTAAAAAATTCAATAGACAACACTACTGATGAACTAAAATTAAGGAATTCGTAAAAACTAAGTTAATATATCAACAGCAACTTTTTAAATTTAGACTGAATATATTTTATTTTCTAATACACACAGTATTCTTAAATTTGGATTCATTGAAAATGCACTCGAGGTGATCGTAACCATCCCATTATCAATTGCTTTGATGAATCTAAATACCAAAGATTTAAAAAAATAATTCGCAATCTGCGTATTTGACATTGACAGAAAATTTATTTTAAGCTCTAAAATATAATTTAAAAATCGACAATTTATTTGTCCTATATTATGGCTTGATGCAGTTATTGAATAATTTCTGCGCAGATCTATTAGCTACTAACAAAAAACTTAAAGCACGTAAATTGCCAAATGCTTGAAAGTTGATCCGAGGAGAAGAAAAATTTCCAAATTGGACGTATCTATCATGTCCAAGATGTTACATATTAGTTTCAGCCATTTTTATTATGTAGTATTAGCAACAACTATACTCTATTCTGATTTGATAAGTCCTTCATAAAGTTACTGCATATTACACAAGGACACTATCGTGACGAAACTAGTGTTGAAATCGATAATTATTATAATGAACTTATGTGCACTACCGCAACCAATTGATCATAATTTAAAATTTTAAACAAATAATCTAAAAATGGTAACAATTATTCCATTAAGCATCACTAAGTAAATATGCAACGGATTTAAATGTTCTAATGTTGTTTCATATATATTACAGGGTAAGAGTGCGTAGACTGCCTTTCAATATATTTACCAGGCAAAAAGAACGTAAATAATATTCTATCAATTTATTACTATTTTAAATACTTCATTTACCTACTTATTCGGTAAAATAGTCCAACTTAATTAGTGATTTTACCATAATTTGCATACTTATTTGTTCAAAGTTATTCAAAATCAAAAGAAGTATTTACTACTGATAGTGAACTTACAATAATTTTAAATTTTTGAATTGTTTTAAATCGTCAGCCTTAAATCTTGTGAAATGCTTCCCTCCTATATACCTAGGAATGTAATAAATACACACTGTGTTTATTTTTAGAATACTTATAGGGAAATTAACTTATATAAACCAGCAATCAGGGTTTTATGATCAAGAAAATGTGGGTATTTCGAGTCAATATAAACTATTATATAGCGGCTAAGACATAGTTATTGTAAGGTAACTTATTTAGGAATGCACTAGTAACGATTTATTTATGACGTTTTAAATGTTCTTACATAGATATTAGCGGAATTTTATGTTATCTAAATACTGATAATTAACATTTTGTTTAATTATACTATAAATTAGTTGGTTTTTCAATTGAGTTTGAGTTTATAGTTTACTTCGAAAGAGATATATAGTTACTATCGCCTCCTAATAATTATCAGAGATCATGAGTATTGAGTCATACTGTAGGCAATTATCAAGGAAAATAAGCCTGATATTAGATTAGTTGCAGTTTAAGTTGCTCGTTAAAAATCTGGATTTATAACAATGGCTTGCTGAAATAATACATCAATATTCATTTCTGCATTAATGTACTCTAATAAAATTACGATTGTATTACAAATAGTTATTATCTGAATTTGACTCTGACAGAAATCCAACGTAGATTTAAAAAACTGCGAATAACCCGTTAGCGATTGTAACGATCATCTTGAATATTTCTGCTAAGATTAATTGTCCGAATAATTCATTGAGACGGCTTAGAAATTTATAATATCAGCTTAAATATCACCGTAACAATGATAAAACTAACATATGATTAGGATAACATTAACCTTATATATATTTAACTTACAAAGAACTTAGATTTTGAAGTCTGTCAATTGTTCCTGGTCGAAGTTGAGTAATCGAATTGTCATTGAGCTGCCTGAAGGAAAAATACGTAATAAATGATAAATTAAGATAGTTTTGAAAGTGGAATGTGTTAATTTTCACTATAGAACAGGATTGATGAATTACTTAACGACGAAGGAATAGTTTTTAGTTGTTAAAAATAAATCGAACTACTTTCCTTAGTTATATTTAAAATAGAAAGAAGAAATAATTCAAAGCTCTAAATTAGATTAATTTATAAACAGTGATAAATTTATACAAGATTAACAAGTAGGCTTGCTCGAAAAGAAATGGTAGGCTATAAAGATTAAAATAACCTAGTAGTCCACTTTACTGCATTAATATTTGCATGTATGACATGCGTCGTGCTAGAATATTAAGGCTATATTCAAAATACAATATTATATAATTTGTTCAGTATAAAAATATTTCGATTTTTAATTTGCTTACAAAGTTTTAAGTGCATTGTTTTCACTAAAAGCTGCATGGGTAAAATTCCTGATAAAGTTATACCTGAGGTTTCTTTTAAATCAAAAAATAAAAGTATTAGGTGCTGATACTTAAGAAATCAAACCAAACAGTTACTTCTTAGTACAAATATCTTCTTAATATTAATTAGAATAAATCCAATCAGGGATTAGAAGTATACACTAAAATTTTTTTAGATAATATACCTAATCAGTAATTTTACTCGTCTAATTTATCGATAAATCCTGATTATACAGTAGAATAAATTCACAATAGCATAATTTCTACCTTTAATAGTGGCTAACTTAAAATCGAATCAACTGAACGCGACAGTAAATGACATAATGGTATATAATTAGTTGAAATATTGGAAACTGATGTAATCATGTAACGACCACGATGAAATTTTTGCTTTATCATAGTAGAATAAAGCAACTCCTGACTTATGAAATTATACGTAGAAATCCAGTAATCAGTAATTAATCCATATAGGATCACTTGATATCAAAGACATTAAATACTATTCTCAGCTCATCATGACAATTATAATACATACAAAAAGTATATTTGATTATTATAATAAAATGTTCGAGATTTGATTTCTGTAATTCGATTAACATCTAAGTTTCTGTAAACAATTTTTAAGAAAGAAATAAAATTATATGAGAAATATAATAATAAAAGATATATAAAGTTATAGTCATTGATATATTTTATGTTGAATACTTAACACCAATCTCAATTGCTTCAGTTGGCTAAATGTATCGACAAAGATTTGAGTGATTGTGTTATCCTTTAAAATTCTATAAATTTATAAGCACATCAAGATCAATCGTTAATGAAGACTTAGACAAAACTACTTGTTATCGATAAACTTTCCACCTATTTGCATTGAAGCATACAACTAAAAATAGCATATTAATCGTCTAGCATTGTCAAATGGTTAAAATAACTAAATGACTAAATTGGTAGTTTATTAGTGATTATCATGGGTACGGATATATTTTCGCTTAATGAAATTTTTTGCATAGAAACATGATATTAAGAAATCAAATTTTAATTTTGATTTTTTACGCTACAGTAAAGCTTCTAGAATATATTAACAGAAATTTTCCCCCAATTTTTGGTAATAAAAACGAAAACGATAGTAAAATCTCCAATTTACAATCTCTGGAGGTTCTTCAATCCAGTAAACATCTTTTGGGATAAAATGCTAATTCTGTTGCCAGTTAAATCGCTAATGCACATAAAAGTACAAAATTATCCCTTAGTTTTATCAGTTTAATAAGAAAGATAATTCAAGAATTTTAATAATCAAGCAGATGTATTAACGGATAGAACACTTTAATCAGTCAAGAGTGAATTCGACATATACAATAGATTTATCAACTGATTTACAGTCTAGTTAATCTTTCCAAGCCAATAAAAGAACCTTCCTCAATTGATTGAATCTTATTAAACTCCAAATATCTATTAAAATATGCGAAAATTTATTAAAATTCTTATTATTTATAGAATAATTCCTTATATTAAAAGGAGGATGGAAGTTATTTTACAGATTGCGTAGCCGTTGATAGGATAAAAAGCTCGCATTCGATAATTTTCTTATTCCCGTTCCTAGAATTTTTCTAATTATATAAGAGATATTGTTAAAAAGAAGCTATATAGTAATGTAAGATCTAGGTAAAAAAATAGAGTCATGATTAATAACTAGTATTTCTTATTATGTCTTATATCCTTTTATTCTCACAAAGTTATAAGCTTCGATTGAGTTTCAGCTATTACAGTTGGCATGGTATATAAATTAGAGCTATGGCATTCCATCCTTTCCTTTTGGCAAGTGCAATACATTGCACAATCAGGCGTTTTACTTTGTATACCTAGAAAGTATAGCAGTGGTGTCGTATATTGTTACAAAATAGCTTTGCAACAAGGTAACATAACGTACGATCAATAAGTCGATTCCTTAAACCACGTATCAGGGAGCAATATCAACTCTTTTAGGAACACTTTTCTTAGACTAGTAGACTACAAAAAGACTTAGACGCCTCGTATCTTATGTTTAACACTAATCTTAAGAACTCCCTTTATTATACGATATATCGTATTTAAATACTCTTTTGCAATAGCAAAGGCATCCTAGTTAGTAATACTAAAGTTAAACCTGCTAATGAATCAGAAGCTAATTTTATCTACTGCTACCTAATGAAGACAAGAGAATTTACGGAACATAGACATCGAATGACTAATACAAAATTGTCAGACTACAATATATTCTATCACGGAACATTTCTATGATAATCTACAATCTACCATAAGTAAGTTACAATCACAGTGATTTAAATTGTAAGAAGTTTATTCTCGATTTCCTAATTAAACTTCTAATTTCAGTAGGCTGTATCTATATTATATATATCCACATAAACGCTAGTGCTATATTTAAACATCATATATCTAAATTAGAAACTATTAGAACAAGGGTAAATCAACAAAATTATCCTAACATAGATATTTCTACTCTAATCTAGATATTACAGTGTATAACACTGTAACCTACATTGATGTAATGTGATTCAAGTTGAAAAGGTTAGTGCAAATTATTGTTATAATATCCTCAAGCTTAAAATCATCATGGACATGAAAAACGATGATATCGAATATTGTAAATCATTATTAATACGAATAAAATCCTCGGATGGAGTTCCATCTTATCGCTGTCAATCAGTTAAGATTGTAACTAGTACTAAGCATATAGAATATTTAAAGATTTAGGAATAGTTTAGGGGCGTAATGAACAAACGTCTTTCGATCCGATTTATCTGGTATATTACATTATTATAACATTTTATCCGTATTTCTACTAAAATCTTTGAAATTAATAGTATACTTAAGGCAATAATATGATAATATGATAATAGCGGTATTGTGTAGTAATATTTGCATAACTGTCGTGATATAATTTCCGTGAGATAACTTATCTAGAAATGTGTTAGTATTTATTTATCTACGGCATTTTACGTATTTTTAATAGATAACTAGATAGACGTATAGTACTATCTATAATCTGATAATTATAATTAATCTTGATGTAGATTTACTATGAATTGACTGATTTTTCAATCAAGTTTGGATTCAGTTTTGTGCTAGAG